ATCTGGCAATGCAGGGGACCCGATTTTAACCACTTGCCTACCGGGGACTTTTACCCTCTTCCTACCCAGGCCAATTTTCAGCTTTCAACTTTTTTTATTTTTTTTTGAGACAGACAGAGCTTTCTTGTGTGGTATTTATTTAATCACCACTGGGTTTTTCATTTTTTTGCTAAACATACTAAAAAAGACTGAAAATGTTTAAAAAAAGTTTTTTTCTTAGTTTCTGCTATAAAATTTTGTAAGTAATGAGAGGCGGCACTGATGAGGAGGCACTAGTAGGTGGTACTGATGGGCATTGACAGGCATCACTGGTGGGCACTGAAAGACAGCACTCATATATGGCACTGATAAGCGGCACTGACTAGTACTGATTGGAACTGTTAGCACTGATTGGAACTGCTAGGCAGCACAGATGGGCACTGATAGGCGGCACTGACTGGCACTGATAGTTGGAACTGACTGGCACTGATAGGTGGCACTGGCATCACTGATAAGTGTCATTGACTGGCACTAATAGGCAGCACTGACTGGCACTGATAGTTGGCACTGAAAGGCAGCTCTGATGGGCACTGATATGTGGCATTGATGTGCACTGGTATGTGGCATTGATGGGCTGGTATATGGCATTGATGGGCACTGACAGGTGGCACTGATGGGGCTACACTGATTATCAGGGCACTGATCATCAGTGCCCTGATGATCGGTGTAGTTGTCCCTTCTGAGGAATGCCGCTTACCGGCTCTCCTCTCCTCACGCCTGTCCTGTGTCATTGGCTCTTTACTGTGACTGGTGATTCGCTGTGTCCCAGAGACACAGCTCACCACCGATCGCCACGTGCCCCTGAGGGCACGCATGCGCAGTTTAGAGTGTGAGGACATCATATGACGTTCTCCCAGAACAAGAGAGCCGCCGCCCGCCCATCATTTCCCTATATGGTGGGCGGGAGGCGGTTAAAGTCAAAATGGAACTCCGGAGGAATGAAAAATCTATCCTTGCAGTAAGCCCCTCTCCCATTTCCCACACTGCAAGGGTTTAATGCTTGGTTATGCTTAGGGTATCTGTAAAAAAAAAAATGTAATTTACCAATCCATGGGCGTTTCCCATGCCACATTCATATCGCACTGCCCTTGTGATCTGCAGCTACTGTCAGTGCAATCTTGACAACATGCCAAAAGCAGGTTGCAAACGCAGTGTGTTTGCCTGCAGTGGATCGCATAGCACAACATGACCAGAAAGAAAGAAAGCTTGCTCTCAATGACTGCACTTAAAAAGTCCTGAATACCGGACTTACATCAACCCATATAAAGAAAAAAGTGCTCTGTCCCTTTAGATCCATAACAGCTGATATGTGTTAACAATAAATAATATATATAATGTTGAATATAAAAAATACTTATATATATTATATATATATATATATATATATATAATAAAATCGTATAAGTGTCATGAAAAGTCTGTACAAGTTCATAAAACGTGAATGTCCAAATCCACATATGGTCATCCAAGTGCCATGAAGAGCGCTCAGAGCTCTAATGTAAACAAACTCGTGTTCCAGTGTACAAAGTGATGATTCTGAAGGTTTATACTCTTACCAGTCCAGAATGATCACACAAGCACTTTTTCCAAATGGAGGGCTGATGCTCTCACCATCAGACTTCCAGAGATGTTTGTGACCCCACTAAAAAGATACAGCAATGGTGTCTCCACAGCAGAAATATGTGGCAAACTCTGGAGCCACCAATACTCACTCCAACACAGGCATCAGTTAGAAGCAAAAAAGGAGAAGCCTCATAGTGTAGTAATTTATAAAAAAAAAAAAAACTTTTAACGAAACGGTTATTGCACTTACACGTTTAAGAAAGAAGACATGTGTTGTAATAATCCAGGGCTTCAGGACCCACCTTGATGATGTCACAATTTCAGCTCCAATCGGCGCATTTCTCCTTAATAGGCATCCTCTGGGATAGGAGGCTGATTATACGGTTGCAGTGCAGTTCAAAAATTGGTGCATGCACGACTTTGGTGCGATGCGGTGAAATTTGAGCCCATTCAAATTAATGGGCTTAAAGTGCATCTAAAGGCTTATTTAAAAAAAACAAACAAACAAGTATGTCATGCTTGCCTGCTATGCACAATAGTTTTGCACAGAGCAGTCCAGATCCTTCCCTTCTTGGGTTCCCCGCCAGCGTTCCTGGCCCTTCCCTCTTGTCGGGTGCCCCCTCAGCAAGCGGCTTGCTATAGGGGACACGCTGCTCTGTGTGTCCATTCACGCACGGAACCCTGTCTCGTCTCCGCCCCCTCTCTCCTCATTGTCTCACTGGCTGTGATTGACAGTAGTGGGAGCCAATGGCTCCTGCTTCTGTCTCAGCAAATGAGGAGAGGAAGTCCTAAGATAGCCGAGATTCCAGTGCACATCGCTGGATCGAGTGGTGCTTAGGTGAGTATTTGAGGGGGCTGGGGGCTGGTGCACAGAGAAGGTTTTTTACCTTCATGAATAGAATGCATGAAGGTAAAAAAACCTTGAGCCTTTAGGACTACTTTAAATTGCACTGCACTGAATCGCATGTGAATTGCACAAGAATGCAGTGCGGTTCCTGTGCGATTCATATATGGTTCATAGTGTGAACCGAGGCTTATCACTTCCACAGGCTCCTCCTTTCATGCTTCCATTCCCTCCCTTGAAGCCTCTTCTCTTTGGCACTCCGGGGACCAGTTGCAGCTCTGACATCATTGTAAGTGAAAATGTCAAGGACTCACCCTGAACCCAGAGCATGGGAGGGAGGAGGAGAGCGTAGTCTACCAGGGGAGCAAGGCAATAAAATCTTTCAGCCAACTGTATTTTTAAATTTGTCAAATTGGATGTGCAGGTGAATCCATACAGCCGTTGTGTCTCTGTTGGTTAACGCAGACTGCCTGCACTCCACCATGTTTGGGAAACATGGAACAAATGGCTTTTGCATGCAGTACGGGCCTCTGTGCTTGTGTGAATTCGCCATAAAGGAAAAATAGTCCTGAAAAAAAAAAAACACTTATGGGTTTAAAAGAATATTTGCACTTAAAAAGCAAAGTGCACTGTTTAAGATTGCCCCCCTCTGCCTTGCTGAACTACTGGAAAAAGGATTAAAATACACCTACAGGCGTAATTCCGTTTACGAAATTAATTCGTTCTAAAGGACTTTTCGTATTGTGAAAAATTCATAAACCGAAACGTGGTTTCCCATAGGAATGCATTGAAAACCAATTAATCCATTCCAGAGGTCATAAAAAAGTAAAAAAAAAAATCTTTTATCTGTTCAAAACTCTTTATATAGTGCACTTTAAAGCCATAAATACTGTAAAGGGACATGATTAAAAATTGATTCGTAAATGCACTGAAAACCAATTAATCCGTTCCGGAGGTCAGAAAAAGTTAAAAAAAGTCTTATCTGTTCAAAACTCTTTATAAAGTGCACTTTAAAGGCATAGTACTGTACAGGGACATGATTAAAAAAAAATTTGTAAATGCATTGAAAACCAATTAATCCGTTCGTATTGCGAAAAAAAATTCATAAACCGAGGCATTATTTTCAATGGATTGTCATTCGTAAAGTGAAAATTACGTTAACCGAGGCGTTCGTAAACGTTTTTTAACCGAGGCGTTCGTAAACCAAGGTACTTCTGTATAAGGAAAAAAAAACTTGCCTTTTCCCTGGCTTCCTCCTGAGTGCCTAGGTGAGGGTGATGTCATTCTTCTTCGGGTGAGAGCCTTGCAAATGTAGAATTCTCAAAATCTGGCTGAGAAGACGTTGCCAGTACTGAGCTACAGTGGCTTCTCGCAAAATTTGGAGCACTCAGCATTACCCAAAATCTTGCGGTGAATGATGGCGTAATCCTTTGCACCACAGACGTTTGAGGAAAGGTGAAGTGAGTATAACATCTTTTTTCTCCCCTCTACAAGTTTTTTTCAACTTGATCCTAGTGTTTCAGCATGGGGTGGAGGGGCAAGCATAAACTTGTACTACATGCAAGGTCTTATTTAAGCAGTCATTTTTTTTTTCATCGTTGGCATAGCTGGGGGCATGGCAGGACTGTGTCTTTTGCCTACATAAGGTTTCTTAAATTAAAACTAAAGTCAAAACTTTTTTTTCATTTTTGATAGACTAAGGGAGGGTTTATAAGAAACTTTGTCCCTACTGGGGAGATTTCCCTTCATTTAGTGTCACAGAAAAAAACAAGAAGTGAGAGGTAATCCCTCCAAAGTGAGGGAACCTGTCATTGCCATCAGATCATTAGAAGCTTTCCCCTCTGTTCCTCTTCTGGTTTAGGGATTCGGGATTTTCTTTCACTTTCACTATCAGTAAAAATCGTAAACATGCCAAAAAAGTGAATCTCCCTAATGGGCCATGGACTGCAATGAGAACCTGACAGATATTCTAATCTCTCTCCATTCTATCCAAAACTAAAACAAGAGTGTTGCTTTTAGTTATACTATAAAGGTGTCCCTCTTTTCTGTCTTGGGAAGTTTGGAGGTGCAATCTGGGAGGTCATTGGTCTACTGCAAGCAGAAGGACGTCATCAAAGGATTGCACTCTACACATGGACTAAAGATTCCTGTGCCTTGGGTGTCTCTTGGGACATAATGAACTGTCTAGTACATATCCAATCCAGCCATATATTCTTCCTGTAATAAAGGATTTCTGCCATGGTCAAAAAGGCCTACAGACATACAAATAAAAATGGCCAGACTAGGTGAAAATGTCTTTGATATTTGTAGGAACCCGAACAAAGAGAAATCATACTGACTTTTTTTTCTCTCTTTCAGATACCATTTGGAATGGCAGAGTCACTGGACTTTTACCTTGTTTCCATCTCCATCTTGTCATTTTAACTCTTCACCACTAACAGTGACACAAAATGCTCTTATGAACAGACACCGATTAATTTATCAGACTGTTATTAGTGGCTGTTTTTCAACCACAAACCTTTAGCATCAAAGAATTTGAAATAGCAGATTCAAAATGAATCGGTACACAACACTAAAACAGCTTGGAGATGGCACGTATGGAAATGTGCTGATGGGGAAAAGCAATGAATCTGGAGAATATGTAGCCATCAAAAAGTAAGTAAACTTTGGAGAAGGAAGGTGGCAAAGGTGGTGTTGTGTTGGTTGTTGTTTTCCACTATCTATAAGCAGCACTAGGCCTCATTTATCAATGTGAATTTCATATGAACTGTCTTTATTGCCTCACAGCAACCAATTAGATTCAAACCTGCCGTGGAAAACAACAGTAGGAGTAAGGGGCCTCTATTCTGATTGTAACTGTAGGCACTTTAATAAATAAGACATCACGTAATTTTGGTAATTGATAACACAGTGGATAATGTTGTCATTTTGTGGCTACTTTAACTCCTAAGAGTAAAACAAATCTTAATGCCGAAGTACATTTTTTCAGAACAAATTAGGCTTTCATTTGGTGGTAAATGGTAATTGTTATTTCCGAATATTGTTTTTATTATCAAAGAAAAACCGTCCCAAAATAGAAAAAAAAATTATTTTTTTTTTAATTTGGCTGTGTGTTTCTTGTTACTACCATAACTTACCACCAAAAAACACCCCAAATAAATTTTCCAGCTGCTGATGATCGCAGCGATACCACATATGTGTATGTTATTTGTTTGTTTGTACCTGTAGTACAACCCAGAAACAATAGTGCACCGTTTGCTTTTTTTTTGTTGTTGTTTAACTACCTAAAACCTGTGATAGTATTTTTTTAAAAAATGTAAGAAAATCCTGACAATTGACCCTAATACTAACCCTGGTACTGACCTAGATCAAACCTTGATCTAGGTATTTTTTCTCTATTTTTTCTTTTATTATTCATTAAAATGTATTTATTTATTTTTTTACACTCTGTTATTTTTTTCTCTCTGCAAGTAGACAGAGAGATACAATGTATCTCTCTCCTGCATTCAGAGAGAAAGAAAACACAGGGGTGGGCTTCACAGTGACTGATCACTGTTATACCCTATCAGAGGCTATCGCAGCAATCAAGTGACCTGGAACTGGACGTTCCAGGTCCCGATTGTTAGTACGGGACCTCAGAGTTCTCAGTTACACCCCGATCTTTGTGCTGGGAGCGCGCCATGGCCCCCACAGTTCTGTGAGGGGGCATATTTTGTGTGACAATAGCGCCAAGGGGTTAAATTAAAGTATAACTAAGGGCAAAACATTTTTTATTAGTTTTGGATAGAGTGCAGAGGGATTATAACACTTGTCAGTTTTTAATGCTGTTTGTGCCCCCATTAAGGAGATCCACTTTCTCTATTTGTCCTGTTTACCGTTATCATTGAAAGTAAAAGTAAAAGAATATCCCACATTTTGGGTTGTCCCCAGAAAAGTACCGTATTTTTCGCCGTATAAGACGCACCTGACCATAAGACGCACCTAGGTTTTAGAGGCAGAAAACAGGAAAAAAAAATTCTGAACTAATGGACTGCAGACACAGTACAGGGATGACCAGAGACTGCGGACAGCACAGGGATGACCAGAGACTGCGGACAGCACAGGGATGACCAGAGACTGCGGACAGTACAGGGATGACCAGAGACTGCGGACAGCACAGGGATGACCAGAGACTGCGGACAGCACAGGGATGACCAGAGACTGCGGACAGCACAGGGATGACCAGAGACTGCGGACATAGTACAGGAGATGACGAGAGACTGCGGACAGCACAGGGATGACCAGAGACTGCGGACAGCACAGGGATGACCAGAGACTGCGGACATAGTACTGGAGATGACGAGAGACTGCGGACAGCACAGGGATGACCAGAGACTGCGGACAGCACAGGGATGACCAGAGACTGCGGACAGCACGGATGACCAGAGACTGCGGACAGCACAGGGATGACCAGAGACTGCGGACAGCACAGGGATGACCAGAGACTGCAGACATAGTACAGGAGATGACCAGAGACTGCGGACAGCACAGGGATGACCAGAGACTGCGGACAGCACAGGGATGACCAGAGACTGCGGACAGCACAGGGATGACCAGAGACTGCGGACAGCACAGGGATGACCAGAGACTGCGGACAGTACAGATGACTGCTGACCTTTGGGGAGGTGGGGAGCGGGTACCTGAATTTGACAGGTACCCGCTCTTACTTCCGCAGAGTTGTTCTTTGATCTTACCTGTTCCTCGATCCAGCCGCGCGCTGTCTTCCCGGCTTCTGTAATGGCGCTTGGCATGACAGCCGGGTGCCCAGTGCGCATGAGCAAGAAGCCCTTGCGCTTTGTGATTGGTCCGGCGGCTTCTGGGATCTGTCATGTGTCCCAGGTACCGCCTTACCATTCACAAAAAGCACCGCTTCTTGCGCATGCGCACTTGGCACCTGGCTGTCATGCCCAGTGCCCACACTACAGAAGCCGGAAGACAGCACGCCGCTGGATAGAGGAACAGGTAAGGTCCCGCTGCAGAGCTGAGCGGCCGAACCGGTATTCTGACACGGCCGTGGTGGAAATACCGGACCGGCCGCTCCATATTCGCCTTATAAGACGCACTGACATTTCCCCCCCAGTTTTGGGGAAGAAAAAGTGCGTCTTATACGGCGAAAAATACGGTAACAGAGGGAAAATCTTCCAATAGGGACACTGGTTCTGGTGACCTGGGGGTACCCAAGGAACTCTCTTAACCATTTTACAACCGTGCTATAGCCAAATGACGGCTAAAGCATGGTTGTCCAGTTCTGGGAGGGTGCCCTCCCAGAACACGTACCCAGAGGTACACACCCGGCGCTGTCAGTGTCAGCTGTGTCCGTAGGACACACATGACTAGGTAAAAGGCCAATCACAGCGACTTTTTACCTCGTGATCAACTATGTCCAATGACACAGCAGATCACAAAGTAAGGTATCCTTTTATGAAACCGAGATCAGTGGCGATCCTGAGGATTGTTGCTGATCTCATATCATTAGTGGTTTAGGAACAGAGATGATCAGCGGAGAACATGTTCTCCGCTGATCATCTCAGCACACAGCACAGAGTGATGTCAGCCCTTCACTGGTGATCTGTGTTCACCCTTCAGATTCTCCAGCCCAGAGCTGGAGAATCGGAGGAACCGCAAACGAAGCAGTGATAATTTACTGCTGCTTAGTAAACGATGTTTGACTGATCTCTTACTGTAACCTCGCGAGATTATAGTAACAGCAGCCGTTTTCCAGCGTTCAAAGCATTTGAAGATCACTTCTCCCTTCATTCGGAGAAGTGATCTACACCGCTTCCTAAAAAGGCATTCAGAGGAGAATTCTCTCCTCTGAGAATGCTGGAGAACTGAGCAGCGGTCATTTATCACTGCATGATAAAAGGACACCTAAATACAGTTGAGCTGTCTATCAGTGTAGCCTCATCAACGCATATCAGTGAAGGAGAAAAATTACCTGTTTGCAAAATTTTTATAATAGAAAAGAATAAAAATTAGTTTTTTTTAATTTTGTGCTTTTTTGTTTATAGTACAAAAATAAAAACCCCAGTGGCGATTAAATTCCACCAAAAGAAAGCTCTATTTGTGTGAAAAGAATTTTACAAATTTCATATGGGTACAGTGTTGCATGACCACGTAATTGTCATTCAAAGTGCAACAGCGCTGAAAGCTGAAAATTGGCCTGGGCAGGAAGGGGGTAAAAGTGCCCGGTAGCCAAGTGGTTAATTTGCAGGGATTTCTTCTCACTTCCTGTTTGGCTATGGAACAGGAAGTGAAATTTCTGCAATGGGACACAAATGGCGAACAAAAATCTGACAGGTTATAACCTTCCCTTTCTCTATCCAAAAGTTTAAAAAAATATAGTTCTACTTTAAACAAAATTGATAAGCATTTTTAATAAACATACATTTGCTGTTGAAGATCTTCAGTATTGCAGATTGCCAGGATGCTAGACAGCCTGCTTCCCAAAAGACATGAAGGCAGCACCTGCTCCTAATGTACACACATCACAAGCTTTATATATTCCTATAAAAAAGCTCACCTACCATTGGAAGAATTGATAGACACCCTTTCCATAGGAATAGAGAAGCAGGGTCCAGTGACTTTTGGAGGAGAGGCTTTGCGAGATCAAGCAGGCCACACAGATGATCTTGGAGTAAGTGTATGACTTGGGAAGGGGAGGGGGGGTGATGACATATAAATAGTAACTGTTCCACATACAGCTACCCATGAACCCTTTTCTTTTTTGACCAGAGGTTCTCAAGGCCTAGATGCCCAGGCCAAAAAAAAGCATCATTAGCATATGTTGGTCAGCGTTGATTAATTTTCACATGTAAAATACCTTTAAATTTCTTTATGACATTCCACACACACTGGCGTAAAAAAAGTGCAATGCTCTTGGTTGAAAAAAACATTCATGTTGAGTGTTTTCCGTATTCGCGTTTAGGCCCAAAAACTGTTCTCAAAAACGTAAAACAGAAGGGTTTTTTCTGCCTCCAAATGCTGAGCTTAAAATATGCCTCTAAGGCTGGATTCACACTGATGCAATTCATCAGATCACATGTGGTGCGCACAGGAATTGTACTGCATTTCTGTTGTGCAATGCGATTTGAACCCATCATTTTTTATGGTTCAAATTGCACTGCATCTGCATGAAAAAGATACAGGCACCTTTTTTTTGGCCACACTGGAATCAGATTGCATGGGTGTTCATATCCATGCGATCCGATTCATGCAAACACACTGCGCTCTGCGACCTGCTTCTGGGGTGTTGTTAACTTTTAATTGACACCCTCAGCAGATCGCATGAATGCAGTGTGATTGCTATGTGGTGCTATGTGGGAAACACAGCGATTGCTGTGTGTTTCCTGGATCTCATCAGTGTGAACTGAGCATAAAAAATCTAATGTTAAAAAACACATAGGGGATGATTTACTAAAACTGGAGAGAGCAAAATCCGGTGCAGCTGTGCATGGTAGTCAATCACCTTCTAACTTCAGCTTGTTCAGTTAAGCTTTGATAAAAAAAAAGTAGAAGCTGATCGGTTTCTGAGAAGAGCTGCATCAGATTTTGCACTCTACAGTTTTAGTAAATCACCCCATAGGATAATATTGGTTGCTTCTACAGGTAAGATAATAAAAAATGTAATAAAAAAGAAAGCTTGCTTTTTTGGGGGGGCTGACAAATGCTCTAAAATTTACAAATATTTTTTTCTTTTTTAATGAATATACTGTATTTAATAATGAATGTAAGTATACCTGAAGTTCACATTATTAAAGTGGTTCCTCAGGCGTGTTGAAAAAAGTTAGCAGTTAAAAAAACTGTAGCTGCTGACTTTTAATAATAAGACATTCACCTGTCCCAAGATCCAGCTCTGTCCTCACCCGCCCAGTTTCTTCACTGGGCTTTGTCCCCCGGCGCCGGCATATTAACTGTGGGCAGCCAGCTGTGACTGCTTTCAGCTTCAGAGCTATGCCCACTGCACATACGCAGGGGTCCCACAGTCTTTTGGGACCTGGGATGTCCCAGAAGGCTGTGGGGGAACGAGAGGGAGCTGACTTTCCACTCCACCAGTCAAAATCATGTACCTGCCCCCCCCCCCCCCCAAAAAAAAAATAAAGTGCCAAATGTGAAGGAGGAGGGGGAAGGAGGAAGAAAATCGGAATTTACCCTTTTGGGTGAAGTTCTGTTTTAAAATTGATGGGAGTGCAGATGAACACCACAGCCTGAAGGTTTACGTGTGCAGCGACAGGCTGGAAGTGTATGTCATGGTAAAGTATACTGTAACATGCTGTACAGTACATTTTCTGCAATTTCTGCACATTTCCAAATGTTTTATCCCTTTAAAGACCCTGCAAGTAAAGTAAAATATCAGTTGATCTGCCAGAATTGCGCTTAGGTACCAAGCCCTGTTTTGGATTGATAACACGCAGCATTTTTGAAGACTAAGTGGTGTCAGCTTTGTCAAAATTGTCTTTTTACTAAATTGCTCAAACCCTCCCACTCTTCCAATTCGACACTAATTATTCTATAGTCCAATATAATTTTTATATTTTGTGATTTTTTTGTTTTGATCAACAAGTATTATTTTGCATTTATTTCACACATATAACAAACCACTTTCAATGGTATATTTAAAAGACCTAAAGAGAGCAAATAGGAGAAGTTCATTGTTCTGGTTTACAAACACTTGAGATGTTTGGACACTTTGACACATTGATAATTTCATTTCAATTAAACTTCCAGCCTGCAGACGATCAGTATAATGATTGGTAACCATAGTGATCACACATAGTGATTTTGTGGTCAGAAACCACTCTGATTGGTCCTCAATCACCAGTGGGGACCTATTCTGTTAATGATAGCTGGAAATGAGAGCAAGCACCTGCGCAAAATGTTATCTGCTGTCTCTAGGGTGTTTATTATTGTATCCTTGACACAGGTTATAATGCTGAAAATAGGTATAGGATTATCTTTGGCTTTCAAAAATGCGGTTCTGTTTTAGAAAAAAAAAAAACTTTAATATTTGGATTTTTTCTTATACAGGATGAAAAGGAAATTCTATTCTTGGGACGAATGTATGAATTTAAGAGAAGTGAAGGTAATATTTTATATTTTAGTTGGGGATACTAAGGTTAGGTTCACAGCTGTGCGCGTGGTGCCGCTGTGGATCTGCGCAAAAATCTGTGCAGCTGCACCACCCGCAGAGTTCTAATGGCACACCGCTCGCACTGGAAACGGCAACCGAGGTTCCCGTGCAGGCTGCGTTTTCAGAAGAAGTGCAGGGACTTCTTCCATGCGTGTCACGGGCATGGGAGTCCATTCAAATGAATGGGCTCTTGTGGCCGCATATATGTGAACCAGGGCTTATAGTATGTGTTTTAACTAGTTTATCTAGCATTGATTATATAGCAATCTTTGGTCAAGCAGTGTGCTTTTACTGCGATTTTTTGTTTATTTCCTTACACACAGCTGTAGGGCTATTTCAGGAAATGCTATGCCTGTCTGTGGGGATCTAATATATTATGAACATAACTTTTATGTTATAAGTTTATATTCAAAATAGTTCCAAAGAAAATTATAGAGAGTTCCTCTCTTCCAACCACCACTATGTTAACAACAGCACAAATTGACCTGAACAATTAAATAAGCTGGTTCCTATCATGTTTACCTTAAGGACAAAGCATCATGTTCACTTTAATGCAAATCCCTGCAGAGACCAAATATATTTACCTTTCCCGTTCCTTTGATCTGTTCGCCCCACAGAAGAGAAAGGTAATACTGGGTACTTCTGAGTATAGGTGTCATGTGACTCAGTCCCCTTCCTTCCACATGATAGTGCTTGGCATTTAGCTGCTCACACTGACCACTGTCAGATCGGGGTTGAAGGAGATCTTTGTAAGCTTCAATTGGATTGATTGGGGCCTTACACAGGACTTGTTCTCCTCACTCTTAGCAGCAAACACAATGGCAAGGAAAGTATAAGTTGCTGTGAGGACTGGCTTTACAATTACCCATTGCTTTGCAATGCATAGACAGGTTTCACTTTACAGCAAAAACTCATGTGAATTTAAAAATTGTCCATGAACATGTTTCCATATTTTGGTATTGAATAAATGTAGTGATTTGTAGATTAGCCAGTAGAGTGAGTGAATACTCAGTTTGGAATCACTCTGCACTGTTAACTGCTTACACAAGATAACTGCACAGGTGAGGAGTGCATTGTTTTTAACAAGTTGCATGTCCTCTGCACCTGCATGGTGAGAAAGAGACGTAAGGACCAACCATTGTGAAGTATTGCAAAGCAGGAAGCAGAGCTTGCTTATGTAATAAATTGATATGATTGCCCATGTGTGTGTGTTGACTGTTGCAATAACACTTTCTATATTCCTATTATCTTCCTTTCTATATTCCTCATCAGCAAGGAAATCCTGTCAACTATTATGTACTTTATTATTTCAGATTTCAGTGATAGAGATCAATGAATACTTTTTTTTTTTTTTTTTTTACAGTCCCTGAAAAAACTTAATCATGTCAATGTGGTCAAGTTAAAGGAGGTAATCAGAGAGAATGACCAACTTTATTTCGTATTTGAATACATGAAGGAAAATCTTTATCAGCTAATGAAAGACAGGTAACAATCTTTTTATCACTATACTATTGGAACAAGGTCATGGTATCAAAGTAAACTTTCACCTAGCTCATTCATGACAAAGGAAATAGATCATGGTATAGCAGGCTCCCTATACTGTTGGCTCTTACCTTTCTCCTGCTCCCCTGCCACCCAATTTGCATGCCTTCAACCAGTGGTGTATTTAGGTTTTGTGCTGCCCTAGGCAACACAAAAATCTTTCCTCCCCCCTTCGTGGAGAGAGCCAGCCCCCCACCCGAGACAGCCTTCCACTACCGCCACACCCTCCATACACTGGCCACTCCCCCCCACCCACCCCCAGCGAGAGAAAGACACTCACCTTCACAGTTCTAGATATCCCCTGGAATGAGAGTCAGGCCCTGCATACACCGTCAAGTAGCCCCCAGCCTCTCTCGGATCCCACCTGGTCCCCATGCTGCGTGTGTACATTCTGTCCCTTCTTTCGGGGAGCGTTGCTGCCCCCCTGAAAAATGCCGCCCTTGGCAAATGCCTTGTTTGCCTTGTGGTAAATACACCCCCTGCCTTCAATACCTCTGATTATGGAGGAACTTGTGACTCTCTTTCCTCCTACCATGCAGGTCTTTGTGCCCAAGTGGCATATTGTCAGGCCTGAGCACGGTGATGTGGAGGCAGCAAGCAGATGCTAAGCTTCGACCTACGACCTGCCAATGCAGAGATTTCAGAGGGGGCTCCCGTGGGTGAATTGGTCAGCAGGGACACTAGTGAAATGTAAGCACCAGTAGTGAGGGACCTGCTAAATAACAAACATGATAATTTGCTCTTTATAGCAAAACTTTAACGAGTAATAACGGATAGCAGACCAGCCACCTTACCTTCAAATAGATTGCTTTAGTTGTTTTTCCTTTCTTTTCATGCAGATACTGTAACTCTCTACATGACTTAGGTCCCTGTTTATTACTGACTGTTTAAAAGAAAAAAAAAGGAATATATCATCTTTACAGATCATATTTTTCTTTATATAATCATAGATATACATGCACAGCCCTGCTATTTAAACTTCATGATTTAAGCTTGCTGTTCACTAGTCAAAAGTGGGCCAGTTCAGCAAGGACTGAAGGCTGAATGATAAAAATGAACATTGTATGGCCAACCTTAGTCTGAGTTGCCTCACCCTCCAACTTCTTCTATCCCTTTAGGACAGTGGCAGTAGCAGTTTTCTGCTGCCCAGGTTCCTAGCTCTGATCCTTCTTCCCATATGCATTCTTTGTAATGTAAAATTAATGAGAAGTCTAACAGTGAGATAACGGTATCTTCATTATAGAAAGTGGATGGACTTAAACATTTAGAGAGGAATAAAAAGCTGTTAGGTGGTTAAGAAGCTGGTATATCACTTTTGGGTGAATAACCCTCTAAGGAAAAAAAAAATAGATTTTTTTTTTTTTTGCTTTTAGTCAGTAATTATGCCTGTGTTGGCATAAACAATGCAGTGTTTTCTACCTGATAAAATTAATGCAAGGTTAAAGTGATATTAAAGGCATTTTTGTTTTTTAAATAACAAATAGCGGCTTTGAACAGAGCAGCCCCAATCCTCCTCTTCTTGAGTCCCCCCTCCCCGAGCCCTGCTGTCTAGTGCCCCAAGAGCAAGTAGCTCGCTATGGGGGCACCCAAGCAGGCTTACTCCTGAGCTGCTGCTCTGCATGTCCATTAACACACAGAGCTGCAGCTCGGCCCTGCCCCTTTGCTCTCCTCATTGGCTCACTGGCTTTTTCTGAAAACACACCAAAAGTCCTGTATGCTGTATCTTTGGTGTGCTCAAAATGCACCAAAAATGCAGGACATAATAGAAGTCTATGGGAAGGCATGAGTAACCGGCACAAAAAAGTGGGTATATTGCGCTGCATCCACACTGCAGCAGGGTAGTGTGAAATGGCCCTAATAATAATCACCTGCCTGAATGTCTCAGTACTGCTTGCATGATTTGATGCTTTTACCAGTAAATTTACTAGTTTTAAAACTAAGAAGAATTATTTATCATACTGTGATCATAAGTGAACCACTTTAGCATGTCAAAAGTGGGCCCAATGCCGCACACTGTATAGAAAATTTTAAATATGTCCTCTCTTGATAATGGCAAGCCATATCTTTATTTTAATGGTCTAACAGATTGTGCCGTAAGGTGACGTAATATGCTTGGTATGATGTTGGGTGGTTGCTACAGAGAGAAAAAGAAGTTAATCTGTGTCCATGTTCTTTGATTTGAAATCTTTGGTCTGTGTAAGAAGTCATTAGGCTCCATTGGCAATATTAAGGGCCCATCAGCGAGACACGCTTGTAGGAAGGAACATACATGTGTAGATGTGGCGGATTTGGAAAAAATGAGACACCCAGAGACATTGGGAGAGCTAAATAGGGTAGAAATGCAAAGTGGTGCTGTAAATTTGATCCTAGGTAAAGGAGGTGGAACAATGACACCAAACTTGCTTCTGGGGGACAAGAACCCCTAGGATCTAATGAAAATGACAATACAAAGGTTAAGTAAATAAAACCTTTTCATTTAAAACAATAGTTTTTCATATATGGCTGCTGTTGAATGTTAGTGCTAATATAAAGCCTTTTTTGAATAATGGTGGCTGCTCTCATTGTTTAAAGTTGCAGTCCTCTGGCCCCAACATACCCCGCAGTGGTACTTTTCTAGTGCTGTAGGGATTAAAACAATCCACTGGGCCTGTCACAAGGACTCGTTAAGAGTGCGAGATCTCCCCACCCTTTCTGCCTTCTCCATTCTTAAAAAGCCGTACTATAGCTTCCTACAGTGAAAAGCACACTATGAATGGATGAAGTGATCCTTTCATTCATCTGCTTGTTCTCCACTCATAGAGCACTTTTCATTGCTTGTAGCTATAGTACAGTTTTTATGAATGGAGGAAGGGAAGGTGAGCATAGTCAGCAGTCTTGATGAGTGCCTAAGACAGGTCCAGTGGTTCGTATTAACTCTCACCAGAGGAGTACCACTGCGGGGGCTGTTGGGGGGGGGGGGGGGGTTAGGACTAAGGATTTAAATTAGTGAGTGAGCAGCCACCAGTGGAGGAGGAGAGGCTAAGCATAGTCAGAAATCTTGATGAGTGCCTAATACAGGTCCAGTGGTTTGTGTTAACTCTCACCAGAGGAGTACCACTGCGGGGGCTGTTGGGGGGGTGGGTTAGGACTAAGGAGTTAAATTAGTGAGTGAGCAGCCACCAATGGAGGAGGAGAGGGTAAGCATAGTCGGCAGTCTTGATGAGTGCCTAAGACAGGTCCAGTGGTTCATATTAACTCTCACCAGAGGAGTACCACTGTGGGGGGGTGTTGGGGGGGGAGGTAGGACTGAAGATTTAAATTAGTGAATGAGCAGCCATCCGCAAGGGACACTTCTCATTCAATGTACGTATCGTCCCTTGTGCCGATTAAGAAAAAAAAAATTGGCTTTAAGGGTATGTGCACATGTATGTCAAATTTTGGTTGCCATATAGCAATTCCAATCAGTGCACAGTATGAAATACAAATTGCTTTGGCAAAAACATGGGCAAAATTCCCTAAATCATTTAGGAAGCAATGTTGGTGCTGTTATTCCTTGATAGTATTAATGATTATAAAGAATGTAGTCAAAATCTACTTCACAGTGCAGTCCCCAATGACAAATTATTATTACTATAGGTAATAATACCATCAATTTACGCTGCGCTTTACATATATATAGTACATTCACATCAGTCCCTAACCCTCAAGGGGTGTACAATCTAAGGTCCCTAACTCACATTCATACATACACATATTAGGGCCAATTTAGACAGGAGCCAATTAACCTACCAGCATGTGTTTGGAGTGTGGGAGGAAACCAGAGTACCTGGAGGAAACCCACACAGGCACAGGGAGAACATGCAAACTCCAGGCAGGTGGTGCCGTGGTTGGGATTTGAACCAACGACCCCAGTACTGCCAGACGGAAGTGCTAACCATTTAGCCACTGTGCTGCCCTAATGTAAATGTAAACTATGTACCCTTAGACTTTACACTAGCTCCCTTGTATCAGTACTTGAAGTGTTTAATTTGTCTCTTCACAGAAATAAATTGTTTCCTGAGTCAGTCATCAGAAACATAATGTATCAGATTTTACAAGGATTAGCCTTTGTCCATAAGCACGGTAGGTTTGGAAAGTGAGAACCACGTGTAACCTCTGCAATGTTTTCTATTGGTAATGTATATCCTTCATCGGATAGTATATCTGATTTAAACAGAGATGGACAGGTTATAATGTATCTGCCAACTACACTTGCAACACAGGCAGCCATTGCATGCAGGTGAAAGAGTGCTGCTCCTTGCTATTACTGCGAGAGGGGGTTGATATGCCAAGAAATCTACCTAGACAAGTGAGCATTCTCTTTCATATGTGAGCATTCTCTTTCATATGTGAGCATTCACTTTTGCCAAGGATTGTTAGTAAATAAAGTGATACAATGGGGTTGATTTTACTAAAACTGGAGAGTGAAAAATCTGGTGCAGCTCTGCATAGAAACCAATCAGCTTCCAGGTTTTATTGTCAAAGCTAAATAGATCAAGCTGTAATTAGAAGCTGATTGGTTCCCATGTACAGCGGCAGCAGACTCTGTGCGCACCAGTTTTAGTAAATCTCCCCCTTATGTATGTTAACGTTGAATACCCAGTCATGTGTGAGTAAAATTCAGCAAAACAAAGCTAGTACATGATTGGTTGATCATCGTGAACACAGATTCACGTTATTTACTAAGCTCAGTGGCCAGTCTATACTTCTTAAGAAAATCAACCCTGCTGCGTAGATGGCAGATGCATTTATATTGATAGCAATGGTTTAGGTGGAATTCTTCTAACCATTGCTTAGTATCAGTTTAAATTGTAAAGCTGTTGTCAGGGGCGGACTGACCATTTGGAAACTCGGGCACTGCCCGAGGGCCCGGGGTCAGTAGGGGGCCCCATGAGATGCCCCTGATACCTTTTTCATAGGCTTTTTTGAGTTTGGGCAAGGACACAGGGGCCCCATGATCCCCTATTTCCCGGGGGCCCCATGAGTTGTCAGTCTGCCCCTGGCTGTGGCATTAGAGCAGTGTTTCTCAACTCCAGTCCTCATGGACCCCCAACAGGTCATGTTTTCAGGATTTCCCTCAGATGAAACAGCTGTGGTAATTACTAAGGCAGTGAAAATGATCAAATCACCTGTGCAAAATAATGGAAATCCTGAAAACATGACCTGTTGGGGGTCCATGAGGTCTGGAGTTGAGAAACACTGCATTAGAGTCAGTTTAGACCTCCTTCACATAGCCGTTTAGCTGCATCTACTGGATTCCAACATCAAGAATCAGCGGATTCTTGCGGCTGGAATCACAAGTACTTGGGGTTAGTACTGGCCGCCCAGCCTATATAAACCAATGACAGGTTGGCAGCACCCCCTGCTGTTCGAATGTTGCATGTTATGTCCCTAACCACAGGTTTGCATGTAGCTACATGTGAACAGTGGCAGCAGCTGTCAGCCTGTGATTAGTTTATATAGACCACAGGTGTCAAACTGGCAGCCCTCCAGGTGTTGCCAAACTACAAGTCCCATGAGGCATTGCAAGATTGACAGTTACAAGCATGACTCCCAAAGGCAGAGGCGTGATGGGACTTGTAGTTTCCCAACAGCTGGAGGGCCACCGGTTTGACACCCCAGATATAGACTGAGCGGCCGCTACTATCCGCATGCACCTGTGATTCCTACAGCAAGAATCTGCTGGGTTTGTTTTGTTGGAATCCAGTGGATGAAGCTAAACGGACATATGAAGCAGGTCTCAATCTACAGATATATATTTCTATTTTAACAACAGAAGCCTGTGGTTTTGAAATATACATCCTTTACCTACACTGTTCTTTTTCTTGCTTCAGCTTTCAGAAAGGACCATTGATACCATTTGGATGAATAGAGGGTAGATGATAACGTGCATTCAGCTGATTGGACACATCAGATTGCTGTATAGGCTCTTTTACACAATGTATGGAAACATTTAACTTGGCAGAGAATAAAATTGGCATTGAAACAAGAGATACAAATATACCGCAGGACAGACTGTTTTATGTCTTTTGATGAGACTTCTAAATGGTATCAAGAGGCCTTGTGATTTTCATTTTCTTTTCATTACTATTTATTTTTTCTTCTGCTACTGCTTTCCTACATCACCGTCTTGGCAGAGAGAATAAGATGTTCACTGAGAATGAAATAAGGAACATTATGTTTCAGGTGCTTTCCGGCTTAGCCTTTATACACAAGCATGGTAAGCATTTAGAATGCCATTTTTCATATGCAACCTGCTATGTGTTAGTGAAGTTTCACTTTTTAGTTATTATATACTCTAGTATATACTATCCCTATTTATTGTTGCTTTATATTTTTGTAGTATATTATTTGATGAAATATACATGCATTAGTCATTTTCTATGATGTACAGTAGATTTATGTAGAACAGCACCCTGTCAGTAGCTGGTAATAGGGGATTGATCCATTCCTTAGCTTAAAGTGGTATGAAATCCAAAACCAAAAATGTAATATATTGCAGTTTACCAATACTTAGATGTGGTGGCTGCAATCATTTTTCTTTTTTTTAGGCTTTTTCCCCTCTGTCTTCATTTGGAGATCTGGCCAGTAACACACTTCCCAAATTAGATTGCCTACTCTCTGGATGAAGGAGCACAGGGGCACCTTTGGACATCAGCATTTTCAGTTTGGGGGGGGTGGAGAGTGATAGATGCACATTTACATAACAGATATAGATACACTAACAAATTGATGCTGAAATCCAGCTAACACAATTTAAGCAGTTATAGTAAGTTTGTTTTCCCTTTTGGAATAAAGGTTTGACATAAATAAATAAAAGCTGATCTTTCTAAGCAACCCTGTCCGTTTTAAATGGTTTGTAACTACTACATCAGCAGGACTGCTTGTTCTTTTGAAAAACAGATTTACTTGCAGGATCATCAGGTGACAAAAGGGAAAGAGAGCCTAAAAAAGAAAACTAATGCAGTCACCACATCTAAGAATTAGTGAGCTGCAATATATTAAAGGTTTCCTTTTGGATTTAATAGTGCTTTAACCACCTCCCGTCTGTCCGTTGTATATAAAGGGCCAGACGGTGCCAAGGCAGGGTTGGGTAGCCGTTTATAAACGGCCTCCCCACCCCCTGCTTGTGCGCGCTCCCTGGGAGCACGCAGCACCACGATCCGGTGCCCGCTGTGTCCTCCGGACACAGTGGAACACCGATCGTCGTACGGGACCTCTGTGCGAGGTCCCGATCATGTGATCACGTGTAAAATCTGTGAATGATCACAGAGGTTACATGGTACAAGGCTATTCTCAACAGCCTTATGCCATGTGACAAGCCGTGACCAATCACAGCTCACACAGTAGTTCTCAATGGCTGCAAGAATGCAGCCACAGAGAAGGAGGAATGATTGCTTTTACAGCCTTTATGGGTGTAAAAGCAATCACTGTAAAGAAAAAAAAAAAAAATCTTCATCGCCCCCTACAAGTAGTAGGGTGACAGTATGTAAATAAAAAACAAATAATAATATAAAAATGTAAAAAAAAGTTTAAAAATTATACTTTTTGGTTATAAACTAATTTGGGTTATTTTGTTTTTTACTAAAAAGATAACAGAATAAATTTTGGCCAAGATTTATGATGAAATATTTATGTGCAAACGTTTATAAGAAAAACACTTTTTTTTCAAAATGTTTGGACTTTTTCATTTACATAGCAAAAAAATAAAAAATCCCAGTGGTGAATAAATACCACCAAAATAAAGATTTATCTGTCTCAAAAAAATGCTAAAAAATGCTATGGGTACAGTGTTGCATGACTGCGCAACTGTCATTCAAAGTGTGATAGCACTGAAAGCTGTAAATTGGCCTGGACAGGAAGGGGGTAAAATTGTCCGGACTTGAAGTGGTTAAGTTATCATGTCAAGCTTTTGTCTTAAGATACTGTTCTGCTTTTGTGGGGGAGTTATGGGTATGGGAACTTATCAATCACAAAATCTCTATACTGCTATACGTTCATTTCATATTTTCTGTTAATTTTTAAACATGGGCATGCTCTGTTCTCATTCCCTTTTTCCTTTCACTGGATCAGGGTTTTTTCATCGGGATATGAAGCCTGAAAATCTTTTATGTATGGGCCCCGAGCTTGTGAAAATAGCTGACTTTGGGTTAGTGCGAGAACTGCGATCTCAGCCGCCCTATACAGACTATGTGTCTACCCGATGGTAAGCTACCTATAGTACCTAATAATGTATATACAGTTTAATAATGTAATGTCAGCTTGATAACACAGGTGTTTCTAAAAGCTTTGTAATATACATATATATTGAAAATACAATAAAGTGTATTTCTTACAAAGCATTACACCTTTTCATTTTCACTATGGGTCTGTTTACCTTAACTGCTTCTTAGCACTTGGGTAATCACTAGCTGATTCTTGTGAACTTGTACTTAGCAGAAGCATGCTGTACTCACCTTCCCCACTTTTCTCCACCGTCAGACAATCGGATAAATATTTTTGAGTATGGAGTTACATGGCACATTCACTGTGCATCACTTTGTGCTAATATTAAATGTCTTATAACGTTAAAGCGTGAACAGGAATCTTGGCAGTCTGGCGGTGGAGTGCATCCAAAGTGGTTGTAAACCTCGGACGTGACATATGAACTAAGCATATCCCTCTACAGTGTGTATTTGTCTCATTTAAGAGCACTAAGTGTCTGCTTCCTCATTCCTCTGCTATCAGCATGAGTCACTTCTGATAAGTTTTCCTGACACCAAGAGAAAAATGGTGACAGGGAAAGGACCTCCATCCTGTGATTTGTGTGGAGGGCAGTGTGGGTGTCTCTTCCCTCCAATCAGCTCTCAGAGAGTTCTGCAGAGTGTAACTTCAGCTCTCACGCACTTTTTTCTGAACTTTCAGACAAGCTTTAAAATACAGCACTTTGAATGGATGTACAGAAGAGAAGACTGCAGATAGACAGAAACAACTTATGTAGGAGGAATAGTTTTATCTCTGTGTATCATCTAAAGTCAGTCGCATCACTGGGTATATGGAAGTGTTTACAACCACTTTAAGTACTGCATGCTTCCAGTCCTTCCTTTAAAGGGAACCTTTAACTTTGCCTAGTATGAACAAAGTACAGGCTAACGTTAAAGGTTATGTAATCCCAAAACTAGATACTCATTTTTGCAAGGACAGATTCAGTCACCTGCCATTTGGAATCACCTTGGTAATAACTTTGAGGAAATCCCTGCCCTAAGATACCGATCTTCTGCTGTATCAGTTTTTTGTCAGCACCATCATTTTTTGCTCTTACTCCATATATTCCTATAGAGGATCTAACTGAAAGTAAAGAAATACCACTGACGCACATAAAGGTGAAGTATGCCAGGGCTTCTGAATCTCATGTGAAAAGCTCTCCTACAATATCCTTGAATTGAGGAAACTTCTGAGTAATTCACTTTGGGTGGACTTTAACCCTGTTATCTTACATGTCTGAAAAATGCACCTGCCACTGTGCACTATTACCTGTGGATTTTGTACATTTACACAGGAATATGTCAACTATGTAGATTTGTTGTTCCTATGCAGGTACAGGGCTCCAGAAGTGTTGCTGAGATCTTTAACATATAGCTCTCCCATAGACCTATGGGCAGTTGGGAGCATTATGGCTGAATTATATACCCTTAGACCCCTCTTTCCTGGAACAAGTGAGGTTGACGAGATCTTTAAAATCTGCCAAGTTTTGGGTACACCAAAAAAAGTAAGTTATTTTTAATCCTACTTGATAAGTCAAATGATGAACATGACAGATTAGCTGTGAAACATGTCAACAATTCCATGTAAGTATCACCTATGTTAAGCAAACACAACCATTACATTTACTTTGCAGAGTGACTGGCCTGAAGGATATCAGCTTGCATCAGCTATGAATTTCCGCTTTCCACAGTGTGTCCCTATAAACCTGAAAACTCTGATACCCAATGCCAGTGAAGAGGCATTAACACTAATGAGAGACATGCTGCAGTGGGACCCCAAGAAGCGCCCCACAGCCAGTCAGGTATTTGATATTGTCAACCTTAATTTTATAAAGAATCAGGAATTTGTCATAAAAATGTTTTAAAGCATATTTGTCATAAAAGAAACAAAGCAGGGACAGAGCCACAGGAGAGGAAGCTGACGTAGTGGGAGGGAGAAGCTGTAAGAAAGATCAGGAATGCAAGGGATTTGACTTCTGCTTTTTTAATTCCCTAGTTATTTAAAAAAAAAAAACCTAAATTCTTTCTGTAAACAAAATACCAGGCCAGTAAGAGAATGCTATATTGTATTCTATGGTACATTTACCTGGGAAAGTACAACATGGTGACAGGGTCTCTTTAGAGAAGCCCACAGATATTAGATGGCAGTCAGACGTGCAAGCATAGTCTAGATGCTTTTGAGGAATAAAGTCAGAAGAGCATTTCAAAGTGCTTCACACACTTATCAACTCTCCTGATAAATTAATAAATTTTTTTCAGTGAGGGAAGTAGGACAGCACAGTAGTGACTTGGACAAGTTTTCTAACATTTTTTCAGTTGTTTAGTTGCTGTACAAGGGGAATCAAAACCACATGTCTCACAACATTTGAACTTCACAAAGAGGGACACTACTTAAAGGGATGGAATGTGGTGCGCTATGCACGCTCTGGTGAGGAGTGGACATGGTAACCGAAAAATGGGCATGAACATATGAGTGTGGTTAAAAGATACACTATATTGCCATAAGTATTTTTACACCCTTTCAAATCATTAGATTCAGGTGTCCCAATCACCTCCATGGCCACAGGTGTATAAAATCAAGCACCTAGGCATGCAGACTGCTTCTACAAACATTTGTGAAAGAATGGGTCACTCTCAGTAGCTCAGTGAATTCAAGCGTGGTACTGTGATAGGTTTCCACCTGTGCAATAAATCCATCAGTGAAATTTCCTTGCTGCTAAATATTCCACGGTCAACTGTTAGTGGTATTATAACAAAGTGGAAGCAACTGGGAACAACAGCAACTCAGCCATGAAGTGGTAGGCCATGTGAAATGACAGAGCGGGGTCAGAGCGTGCTGAAGCGCACAGTGCGCAGAAGTTGCCAACTGTCTGCAGAGTCAATAGCTAAAGACCTCCAAACTTTGTGTGGCCTTCAGATTAGTACAACAACAGTGCGTAGAGAACTTCATGTAATGGGTTTCCATGGCCGAGCAACTGCATCCAAACCTTATATCACCAAATGCAATGCAAAGCATTGAATGCAGTAGTGTAAAGCATGCCACCACTGAACTCTAGAGCAGTGGAATCGTGTTCTCTGGAGTGATGAATCATGCTTCTCTGTCTGGCAATCCGATGGATGTGTCTGGGTTTGGTGGTTGCTAGGAGAACGGTACTTGCCTGACTGCATTGTGCCAAGTGAAAAGTTTAGTAGAGGGAGGATTATAGTGTGGGGTTCTTTTTCAGGGGTTGGGCTTGGCCCCTTAGTTCCATTGAAGGGAACTCCTAAGGCGTCAGCATACCAAGACATTTTGGACAATTTGATGCTCCTAACTTTGTGGGAACAGTTTGGGGATGGCCCCTTCCTGTTCCAACATGACTGCGCACCTTAGGGATGAATTAGAGCGGCGACGGTGAAACAGGCCTTCTTGTTTCACATCAATTCCTGACCTCACAAATGCGCTTCTGGAAGAATGGTCAAACATTCTCATAGACCAGGCCTTTCTCTTAAAACATCCTGTGGGGTTGCTTCTCAGCCAAGGGAGTGGGCTCACTTACAATTTTGTCTTAGAACACCATGCCATGAATAAAGAATGGTACAAAAACATCCTCTGAGAGGAACTTCTCCCAAGCATCCAAGAACAGTTTGGTGATGAACAATGAATTTTCCAGCATGATGGAGCACCTTGCCATACTGAAAAAGTGATAACTAAGTGTGTTGGGGAACAAAACAGCTCAATTTTGGGTCCATAGCCAGGAAACTCTCCATACCCTAATCCTATTGAGGACTTGTGGTCAATCCTTAAGAGGCAGGTGAACAAAAAAAAACCCACAAGTTCTGCTAAACTCCAAGCATTGATTATGCAAGAATGGGCTGCCATCAGTCAGGATGTGGATGAGAAGTTGACTGACAGCATGGCAGGGCGAATTGCAGAGGTCTTGAGAAAGAAGGGTTAACACTTCAAATATTGACTCTTTGCATAAACGTAATGTAATTGTCAATAAAAGCCTTTGACACTTATGAAATGCTTGTAATTATACTTCAGTATACTGTAGTAACATCTGACAAAAAAGATCTAAAAACACTAAAGTAGCAGACTTTGTGAAAATTAATATTTGTGTCATTCTCAAAACTTATGGCCAGTGCTGTATATCTACTGTAAATGCAAACATTTTTGTAGTTTTCATTAGAACACGAAGAATTAGCAGTCATGTCATGCTTTATTGCCATTGGAGGCATTGTTGGAGATACTCCTTCACTTTCCATCTGATAAATGGTTGTCCCATAATAAGCAACCTAGGTGGACCACTGTCACCTATAGAAGAAATGGACAGCCCTCCAGAAGCTATAACATCTCACACCTGCTCAGCTTTGCTTAGTGTGTTTGAGAGCAGGGATGTCTCTATCCATTTTGCTATCTCTTTGCTGGAATTGTAAGATTTTTTGCTACTATCAACAGCTACTGGTGGATTTAGGCTGGATAGTGGAAATACTGGAAGTTTCCCCAGGTAGCCAGCAAGCACAGACTTTCCCAGTACATTTAATATACTGGTGTTCTCTCTGCAACAGTACTGTAATCCGCAGTGACTTCCCATCCATTTCCAGTTGACACAGGTCTCTACTTTGGATCAGGCCTTTATATCTGGGATTCCTTGTGGAGTTACCAGGACCACAGCTGCAGCAGTTTTCCTTTGCCCATCTCTAAGGACTCACTGCTCAGGCCTCATGCTGTGTTGAGGTTTATCCTCTGGTACTGAGGCTTTGTGTGGTATTACTATAAAAGCAACTTTAGTTGACTGGCCAAAGGGTAAAATTCTCCTTTCACAACTGGGCTTTCCTTAGACTTTGATGCAGCTTGCAAGCTGGCCACATGATGAAGCCCTTCACTTTATTTTAATCTCAGGCTGCACTTTCTCTTATGCTTTGGTGGTCAAGCACTGCCTATGCCCAAACTGCCATTTGTTCTCTCAGCGTGCAGGAGTAGATCACATGTGCATGCATGCTTTGTCCTCTGATCCTGTGACTCTTTTCTGAGGGGAAATGGTAGAAAGTCCAAAAAAACTACATGACACAGTCATCAAGCAGAGTCTCTCCACTTCACAGGGGGTGTCACCAGCTACAATTTTTATGTTCTACAGGCCTTCTCTGGAGCACAACTTTTTGACATCACCTACCACATCAGTGATTCCAGTGCACCACTGGCAGAGTTGTTTTACTCCTAGTACAGCTCTGGGTCAAGTCCAGGGGTAGAGTTGGGGGTTTTGGCAGCTCAATGGTAAACAACCTTTTTGGTTTTTTAGCAGCAGGTCTGACACCAAAGAGAAGGTTCCTCACCCTGTAGCTGCAGGCACATTTTCTATTCAGGATTTTATTTGAACTATGTACCAGAGTGAGCTTAGCACAGGAAACAAATGGGCCTTTTGCACTTTTCATAGCAGTTATTTTTAACCCCTCCCCCCCTTTTTGCAATCTGGATAGAGTACCGGAGGGAGATAACCCCTGTCAACTTTCTTGCCATCTGTGTCCCGTTGTGGAGATTTTCCCTTCACTTCCTGTCCCACAGAGAAAATAGGAAATGAGAGGAATTCCCTTCAAAGTGAAGGAAACCCTAATTGTGACCTGGATCATTAAAACCAATGTCTCCATTGGACGATTTTCCCTCTATTTTTGTTCTGGAGACAACCCAAAATTTGGGATTTCTTTCACTTTAAGGGATAATGATAAACAGGACAGGGGGCAGAGACAGCAATAAAAACCTGACTGAGGTTCTAATCCCCCTCTACTGTATTCAAAACTCAAAAAAAAATTATCTTTACTTATACTTTAATATTCTGTTGGCTAGCCTCCAATGGACTCGTTGTCAGAGGAGGAGACCCCACCAGCTGAATTTAAGCCAGCAGTTCGTTCACTAAACAGAAGGAAGCTATTTCTTTTCTAATTGAGGCTAATTTAATATAGAGGATTCTACTATTTTTTTCCTCTACCTCAGTCTCTGGGCTTGCTTCTCATAGACTTAAATATTCTATCAAGAAATTCCACATTATCCCCTATTTGGTGATGTTATCTACAAAGACTGGACAGAAATATAATTCTTTGCATTTAAGTGGTTTCTGGTGCCTATCCATTTGTGGAGGATAATGACAAAAATGGTCTACTCTTCTTGTAGTCAACCCACCTGTAATCTCACTATAACAAGCCTTTGACCACTCCTATGGATAATGTTCTAGCCTTTAATGTAGAACTATAGACAAGCTTTTTTTTGTTTTTTAGTTTTGAATAGAGTAAGTGATGTTAAGCTAAGCAACACTGTAAGAAGGCTTTGCTATAACTACCCTTTGTGGGAGACTGTCTTTTCACCTTTTTACTGAAGTAAATTATTAAAAAGGAGACAGAAGTGGTGAGATAGGGTAAAAGCACTGACCACAAAATAAGGATTAATGGCACAGTTTGAAACATTTCCATACTGCATGCAGATTTCCTCAGCCAACCACGGGTTTTCCAGGACTTGTGTTGCAGATTGGGGAACGCCGGATGTGAACTTTCTGGCCTCCAGGTTCAACAACAAACTGGATAGGTTTTGTCTCCAGGTACAGGGATCCTGTAGTGGAAGCAGTGGATGCTCTGGTGGCTACAAGGTACCAGTGCATCCTCATCATTGCCTTTACTCCCCTGAAACATCTTCTTCGTCTGCTTTGCAGGATTGAGATGGAGGGCATTCTAATGATTTCAATTGCTCCAGACTGGGCCAGACAGATGTGTTAGCATGACCTAGTAAGACTCCAGGCAGACATTTTGTGGGTTCTACCAGATCATCACAATCTTCTATTCCAAGGACCGGTTTGCTTTCCTGCTGCACATTTGCTAGATTTAGCAACATGGTTGTTGAAGCCCAGGCTCTGAGGAACAGGAGCACCTCTGGGTCTGTGCTTCCTATGATGCTAAAAGCTAGAAAATGTACTTCTCAGGAGATTTATCATTAGACGTGAAAGGCATACTTCACTTGGTGTGAGGTTTGGGATTCCACCCCAGGAGTTTCTCCATTAAATGAATTCTCTTCTTCCTGCTGCATGGTCTAGATGTCCAATGTCTGGTTCTCAATACTAATATGGATTGAGTTTCTGCCCTTTCTATTCTGTTTCAGAGACTGTTGGCCTCTTACTCTGTTGTACAGTAGATCTCCCATGTAGCTACCCCCATTCTTTGCGTCCTGTATGACAGTTCCCATTGTTTGAACCTGCTAGAGATATTTCCCTCAACTCTCACACACAAGGTGGTGTTGCTTATAGCCATCACCTCTGTGAGGCAAGTGTCTGAATTGGGGGTCTTATCCTGTAAGGAGCCCTTTTTGGTTATACATAGAGGCCCAGGACTTCCTTCTTGCCTACAGTAGTTTCTGCCTTTTACCTCAACAAGGATCTTTTTACTATACCTCTGTTTGGCTCCAGTTCACCTAAAGTAAATTTTCCTTTCAATGTCTGGATGTGGTTTAGGCTGTGAGAGCTCTTCTAGATGGGTCCTCATCTTAAGCTAGCTTTAGGTGTAGGGTCCTTTAGGTGGCTCTTTAACTTCTAGTTTTCTTTAGTTTTCTTGGGCCCTATTAGCATTTGTTTGCCGTGTTGCCCATGCCTCAGTAGAATTGCTTTTGGATCACCTAAATGTATCTGCGTGGACGTGATGCCACAGTATAATAAATATTATGGTTTCACAACACTCAAATGTTTTTTAGGTCTGTTCAGCAAGAATGCATTAACTCTGGTTAACCCATTTTAGTAACATAGGGGTACTTACATCAAACCCACTCTTAAAAGCACTACATTTATAATAGTATATGTTTTCTGAAATATAACTGAACATGCACATATTGATAATTGCATGACTTTGGAACAATAAAAAGGGAAGAAAGTGATTTTTTTTTTTTTTTTTACTGTTTGAAGGCTTTAAGGTACCCGTATTTTCTAGTTGGACAAGCACTGGGCCCTCCAACACAAGCTGTAGAACAGAAAAAGGCTGTAAATAAGCCAGCACAATCCATTGAGCCACAGCCGTTCTCTGAGATAAAAAAGCAATCTTCCTCTCCTCCTGATGCACCAGAGAAAACATCAAATGACTCACCTGCTCCACACAGGCCCCTCCAGCAAATACAGCTTCCACAAAGCACAGCCGACAACCAGCTGCCTTCCAAACATCCTCAGGTGACTCTTCCCAACATCAGGAAAACCATATCGCCGGTAAGTAACCCATAAAGTTATGAGGCACACGGTACTGTGCATATGCCGTTTTATTGTGTCATTTTTACTATTAAAATTTTTTACAATTCCCACATGTATAATATTTTAAAGTGTACATCTCTTATAGTGTACATGCTTTTTTCTCCATGTTTTACACCTTTAAAATCGCTACAAGTATAGAAAGATACATGTTGATCTGCCAAAAAAACCAGCGAGCTCCTTATTTTCTGTTTCAGCTGACAGTGTCACTGCTGTACTGAAATCTCCAACAGTGGTATCATCAGCCCTGCCCAGTTGTTCCCTTAGGCTCCATGCACACTGGCTTAGTAATTGCTGCATCTACAGGAGTTTTGCCTGTAGAAGCAATGAGTTGAGTTTAAAATATGCCTCTAATTGTCCTAGAGGCAGAAAAAAAACCTCTTCTGGCTTGCGTTTTTGATTGGAGCTTTCTGGCAGAAAAAAAATGCTAAACTTTCCTAAACTTGCTCAAACTGTGTACAAAAAGGCTCTATATCAGCGTTTTTTCCTGCCCAGTCTGCACAGAGCCTCAAACTACAGAAAATGGAGATTAGAGAAGGGAAGGTGTTTTATAGCTCAGTAGGGGAATCTGGCCATGGTTGATAATATTGCTTGGGATTTCAGTGCAGCAGAGTCATAAGGGGTTATTTACTAAACCTGGAGGGTGCAAAATCTGGTGCTGCTCTGCATAGAAACCAATCGTCTTCCAGGTTTTATTGACAAGGCTTTATTGAAGAAGCTGAAGTTAGAAGCTGATTGGCTATAATGCACAGCTGCACCAGATTATGAAATCTATAGTTTTAGTCACCGGATTTCCGGCAGAATCACTATGTATTTTTGTGCACGAACAACATAACATGGGAAAATGTGCATGCCTTACAGAGATGTGCTGCATTTTTTTTTTTCATTTTCCCTGACGTTAAAGTGGTAGTAAACTCCGTTTAAAAAAAAATCCCCTGCAAGGCAGTGTTCTAATGTGCTAGTATGCATTGCATTGCATACTAGCACATTATGAAGTACTTACCTTAAAACGAAGCCCTCCAGTGGCGCACTGTCACCGCTGATGGGGCTTCCATCTTCCCTTGGTCTTCCTTCCGGGTCCATGAGCTCTGGCTGTCTGACTGGCTGAGCCATGATGACTTCACTCCCACGCATGCACGTGGCAGTCACGGGCCATGGCACAGTGCTCTCCTAAAAGCTGAACATTTAGGAGATATTCATTTTACCTACAGGTAAGCTTTATTGTAAGCTTACTTGTAGGTAAAAATCACAATGTGGACTGCTTTAAGGATACTTGTGATAGACGATTTATTATTTTAAAAACTTGTTACTACTTTTAAATGGTAACAAACTAGTTATTTCCTATGAGTCAGTTTGCCATAGAACCCCATGAAGATTTGGCACAGATGCCTGCTTCTGTTGAGAGGTGTAGTGCACCAGTGATAGTCTTGGACAGGAAAATATTTTGTTGCTACAACAGGGTTGTATTTTGTATGACTGCAGAAAAGAAAATCTAACAAATCTCAACTTTTTTCCCTCATCATAGAAACCAGGAGTCAGTGGACCACAGAACAGTTCTGTTAACGTAAAGCATGGAAGGCGACGATGGGGGCAGTCAGTTCTGAAGGATAGCTGGGATGAGTTTGACACAGAATTTGGTATTTCTTTTTCAAAGAAGCCAAGCATGACAAATGTTAAAGAGAACAAAAATGATGATTTGGAGTAAGTCTCATGTCTAATTGTGTTTGTGATAAATTAGTAGAATTGCTGATAGTTTTTTTTTTTTTTTTTTAACAGTTGAGGTTTATTCGTAAAGTGGCATAACAAAGTTGAATCATGTAGCATTTCCAAAAGATATACATAAAACAAAGATTCTGATAGTTAGGCTCCATTCACACTAGGGCGTTCAGGTGCCACGTTTTTAAATGGCACCTGAAAACGCGGGGTGTTTTTGCCACGATTGTGGCAGGTTTTTTCGCAACAGAAATGTGCCGCAATTGAGCAAACAAAATCGCAGGATGTGTGAAGCCTAAAAAAGGTTCCGGGAATTCCGCCCACGATTTGAAATGCCCTAGTGTGAATTGAGCCTTAAAGAGGAGCTCCAGTCTAAAGTTGTTAACTTTTAATATAAAGGATACTTACCTGTCCAGATATCCAGAGCTGTCCTCACCCGAGCCGATTCTTCAGTGGGCTTCGAGTCCAGGCACTGGCATCTTAGCTAAGGGAAAACAGCTGTGAAGCCTTGGGGCTTCACATCCGGCTTCCCACTGCACATGTGCAAGCCACGTTGTGCCTTATGAATGGCTCCACAGTCTTATGGGACCTGTGATGTGTCCCAGAAGTCTGTGGGTGAAGGCGGGGTGTGTGAACTTCTGCTCAGATCATCTAGGCAAGCCTTTCTCAACCAGGGTGCCTTGAGGTTTCTTCAGGGGTGCCTTGGCAAAATGTCTAAAAATTTCCCAAAACTTGTATACAAGTCAGAGGGGGAACAAGCCTGACTTTTTAGTTACACAAAGGTTTTCATTGTGCACCATTATGACCTTCTAGCCACCGGCATCCTGACAACCAATGACATCAGTTGATAAGGAGGATGTCGGCTGCCTGCACAGCATCCTAGTTTGAACCTCCCCTGTCCTTCTCCGCCAGTGCTGGGGTCATTTTAGCTCAGTGATGGATATATCTGAACGAGAAGAGAATCTTTGGAATACTACTCAGTACCAGTGTGCAAAAGTGTATTTGCTGTGGAAGAATAAATCACCTATAATGTTGGGTGTCTTACATGTGTGGATGTTGCTGCGTTATATAAAACTATTAGAATAGTTTTTCACATTTTAGAATGGGGTGCCTCAAGACTGTCCATAATTTTAAAGGGTGCCTTGGGATTGTCCATAATTTTAAAGGGTACCTTGACTGGAAAAAGGTTGAGACACACTGATCTAGGCGATCCCGGTGGAAGTGGGAGCGGGTACTTTTCAAAACCAAGTGCCTGCTCCCCCCCCCCCCCAAAAAAAAGATTTAGTAAAACTAGTGTACACAGAATCTGGTGTAGCTGTGCATAGTAACCAATCAGCTTCTAACTTCAGCTTGTTCAATTAAGCTTTGACAGTAACACCTAGAAGCTGATTGGTTACTGTGCACAGCTGCACCAGATTCTGTGTGCATCAGTTTTAGTAAATCTCCCCCAAAGTGTCTCTGTCAACTCCGTTACACTCTGGGTGTTGATAGTTTCCTACCCTACCAGCCTGACACATGGTATGAGGAGATTACAGAGCTGTGTTTAATGATTGGCACTGCAGATTCAAGGATTAGGTACCTCTACAATCATCCTATTTTGACACTACTGGTTGTCGTCTGTCCCCCCTTCCCCTAATGCTATGTCACTAAAGAGTCTCTGCAGCTTACCAGTACAGCCTTACACAATGTCAGTTGACAGCACAGAGCATGTGTGCCAAGCAGGGGCGGACTGACCATTTGGAAACTCGGGCACTGCCCGAGGGCCCCGGGGTCAGTAGGGGGCCCCATGAGATGCCCCATGTACCTTTTTCATAGGCTTTTTTGAGTTTGGGCAAGGACACAGGGGCCCCATGATCCCCTATTGCCCGGGGACCCCATGAGTTGTCAGTCCACCCCTGGTGCCAAGAGCTCTAGAGAACTTCTAGTGACATATTGGCCAAGGAAGGAAGAAACATAAAGCAGTGGGTTCTGACACATACAGAAGTGTTGGATTGGGAGGATTCTAGTCTTGCTTGTACCTCTGCCAAAATAGTATAGTTGTAATAATTACAGAGGGGCAATATCATACTGTCCTTTATGACAGCAGTTATCAGACAAGAGAAATTTGGTAACAGGTTTTCTTTATGTCTTGTCAGCAGCATTCCTTAAACCCTGGTTCACATTGATGCAGTGTGCATTTTATCTGGTTTGCATTGCTTTTTGCAGTGCGTTTTGCATTTGTTTTTTTGTTAAAGGGGAAATGTTTTTGTTGCTGGGCAGAATAAAAATGCAAAATGCAGTAAAAACGCACTACATGTGTTTCAGCAGCATCTCCATTAAGCTATTTTGACCAAAAATGCTGCTTTTTGCTTTTAAAAAAGACCCTTGTCCTTTCAAAAAATGCAGCAGCTCCAAAATGCTCACAAAAGCATAGATGTGAATGTGTTCCATAGGAAACCATGTTAAATGGACTGTAGTGCATTTATGCAAAAAACACTAAAAAACGCACTGGTGTGAACCAGGCCTTATTCACACAGAAGTTTTCAAATGTACGAGATAACTTAGTACTTGCCTTTATTTTGTGTTTTCACATACTGTAAAGGTGGACGCGATGCAGTTATATATAAAAAAACCCACAATTTTTTGTTTTTATGTAGTTAATAAAAAGATATTTAAAAAAACAGCTAAAGTAAGTACTGTACATGAATTCTTAATATCAGCTTTCTGTAATCCTCCTAAGCAGCTTCATTCTAAATTGGAGAGGGAGGGTCAGTACATGAACATGCTGATGGAAGAAGAGGGATGACCATCCATCTGCTGCTGCTCTTTTCTTGTCTAGTTATAGGTCAAAGGCAGCGGTGACCTAGTTATATTGGTTAACTAGGGTAGAGAAAAGTCAAGTCACCAACTTGACTTTATGGCAGAGCTGTGTAAATCTCAGGATAAGCTGGACAACAAGATACTGTATTCTTTGGCAGGTAAAATGGCCCCCGTATATATATATATATATATATATATATATATATATGTGTATATACGTTGTGTATTTACCTGTATTCCTGGAGTTCAGCTTTAATGTGAATAGTCAAATGCATTGTATATTAAATAATGGCTTATTTATAGCTTTACAGACTCTACTGATTTAAATAAAAGTACAGCAAGAACAGACTCTGGAAAGGTATTGTCCGCCAAACAGCATTACCTCAGACAGGCAAGATACCTACCAGGTAACCATTATTTATGAAATTGTCATTATTGGCTGTTTTACATACTATAAGCCAGTGTGCTCTGCTTAGGAACATGTGCAGCATGGAGGATGGCCTGTAGATACTTCACACTTTGTCAAACATGGAGCGAGGCTGAATGAACCATTTTCTGTTTTTTTTGCTTTGACATCTGAAGTGTCTGTGTATACAGGGGGTGAATGCCATATCCATGTCTGCCTGTATATGTACCTTGGTAGTCATAAAATGCAATTGACTGTTCTGCCAAACTGCCATATGCACAGTAGCAATGACGCCTCATTGTTGAGGCCTGTTCACACTGTGCTGCTGCGACATACTACAGTGCAGTTGCATATAGTCTTAGGGCCAGTTCACACTACATGCTTTTCATTTGCGTTTTTTTCTGTATCCAAAACGCACAGAAAGTATGTTATATGGTTGTCAATGGCATAGCTCACATCAGTGCTTGCAGTTCCAGTGCATTTCGGATGCAGAAAATATAAAGTAGAACATGCTGCATTTTTTTCTACACAGAACTGTACTGGAACGTGGTTGAATGCACATATCCCTTTTTAAATTGAAGAAAAAGAGAGGGGGAAAAATGAATTGAAATGCATAAAAAATGCACCGAACGCATGAAAAATGCACTAAAACTTACCAAAAACATGTAAAAAATGCATCCGGAACGCATCTGGACTGTGTTCTATAGTGTGAATCAGCCCTAAATGTTATAAATAAATGGAATTTACATTTTTGGAAAATGTTACCTGTCCAATTTTTTTTTCCTGTTTTACAGTGTGGTGAGGTCCATAAAAGTCTATGGCATTGCATATATATATATTATTTTTATATATTTGTGCGTTTTGATATGCTGCTAGCCCTACCATGCTGATTGGTAAATGTGTGGAATCATGTGATAACACATTATTGAAACATGCAAACAAAAGCAGCTGAACTGCAGACACATAGGTGTCAATGGGCCCTTTAAAAAAATCAGTTCTTCCACAAAGTGCAGATATTTCTAGCAGGACTAACATCAGAGACAGCATTGATCAGTACATTCTCAGCTCCCAGCAAACTAATGATTTTTTTTTAACTATTTATTAACTCTTCTGCCTCAGCTTTACATCTGTTTTTTTAATATCTTTTTTGAAGCTTGAAGCAGATCAGCCGCAGGTCAAATGCACCTGTCACTGATTTCTGAATGATCTCCGAAGCATTTTAAACTGATGTCAAACTGAAGTCATCAACACAAGCCCAAAGTCCATTAACATGAAGCACTTCTTACTTCACAACTGCGATGTACTAAAATGAGAATACCTACTGTACTTCCAATGTATTCTGCATATTTGTCAGGACCTGACTGCCTCCCATTGCATACAGAAACGACAGACGAAACATCAATATAAGTGTGTGTGCTTATCAATTAAAGTAACGAGTCATACTCCAGAAACATATTCTGGTGCTAAAGACAATCACGGTATATCTTCCTACCCCTTCACTTCTCCCATGCTCCCATGTGTAATACGTGGCTTTACTGACCATTCCTGTAGGACATGGTAGGGTGAGGCCAAGCCCAAGTGTCACCCTCCTCGTGGAACTTGCTGTTTGCACGTAAGCGCATCCTTGCTTCGGGGGCACCTAGGGAGCTCTGAAACGTAACTGAGGAGAAGTGTACTTGAAAGAAAAAGAACTGAGTATAGGTACACTTTTCATTTAAATCATTGCCGTCCATCTCTATATATTGAAGGCTATGAACTTTATATGTCTTCACTTCACCCAAGACCTCCTGATCTCTATCCTCCTCCTCACCTTCTCCCATGCTCACTTTTAGGACTTCTCCACAGTTTCTTCCATTACCTGGAATTGTGTACCTCAATCTGTTTGGCCATCTCCTACTTTGTCCACCTCTATATAAACCCTGAAAACGCATCTCTTAGGGAAATTTTCTCACCTCTCACTAACAACTGAACTTTAACTTTCTCCATCATCTCATTCCCACACACATATTAAAGTGGTTCTCAAGCTAAAACTTTTTTACCTTAATGCATTCCCTGCATTAAGATAAAAAATGTTTTACCACTTGCTGGTGCACCTCCCTCCACTTCACTTCCCTAAACACTTATCGGAGTCCTGCATTGATCCAGCACTGTGCCTGGCTGCATCTCTTCACTCCCCTCTTCCTGCATTCATAGGCTTCACTGAAAGTAGCGGGAGCCATTAGCTTCTGTTGCTGTCAGCCAAATCCTGTGAAAAGGGAACAGAGAGGCGGGTCTGAGCTGCGCTTCTTGCGTCTATGGATGCACATGGCGTGCCCCCATAGCATACAGCTTGCCATGGGGGCAGCAGAGGGATCCCAGAAGAGGAGGATCGGGGATGCTCTGTGCAATATAATTGCACAGAGTAGGTAAGTATAACATGGTTATTATGTTAATAAAAAAAAAATTAGCCTTTAAAAATGAGACTTTTGTATCACTTGATTCTCTCTTTTAGATTGTAAGCTCTTACAAGCAGGGCCCTCCTAACAACTTTGACTTGAATTGTATTGTAACTGTGCTGTTTCTCTTTATATTGTAAAGCAATGCGCAGACTGTAGGCACTATATACAACCTGTGTCATAATATAATCTGGGCCTTTTTGTGGTTCTCTCCTGAAACGGAACTCTTCTGCTGTGTGTGTGTGTGGGTCCTTTGCACATTTGTAGTAAATCAGCTTACAAATAAAAAAATGTATTATTTTTTTTTTAAATTTAGGTATGAATCCCAAAAATGTGACACTGATATCTACTAATAAGGAAGCTAACCATTCCACTTGGGGCAGCACTAAACCTCTTGCTCCAATTAATGGCGGAGTTGCATTAAACAGAAACAATGCAGGTAATAATTATGATTAAAGCATATGAAAAAAACCCCCAAAGAGCACAGTATATTACATTGCAGCTTACCGGTCTATAGATGTAGTGTCTGCTTTACTTTCCTTTTTCCTTTTTTTTTTTTTTTCAGCTGACGATCCTGTCAGTCACACACTTCCTGTCCTAGGGTGGCAACGCTCATGCACGCTCCCTTTGGGATTGATAAAGTATTCTGAATCTGAATGTACTGTATACAAAATAGACACCGCATTATCACCCTAGGGCAGGACTACAGAAGACCTACTCCTCTCCATAACTTTGTTATGGTGAAGGGTTGGTTTTCTGTAATTCACACAGAAAATGAGGGCTGATAACTTTGTTTGGGATCTCAGTACACAGAGACACTGTGCTGTCAGCTCACTAGCAGGGTCAACAGATATATTTTACACTTCCTCTGCTCTTCAGGGCTAAAATGTGGTCAGGTACTTCTACCAGGGCCCACATCCCATTCAACAATTTGGATATCGGTCCTGAAATGTAATTGCAGAATGCAGATGTGATGACATCAAAAACAAGGGGTGGCAACAAGACCAGTGGGAGGTCAGCACCAAAACAGCTTAGGTGTAACTGGAATTGTCTAAGTGATAGATCTCTATACTGAAGATCACAAAGGGTAATACTGGGCAATAGAACATTTAATTTTAAAAAGCAGCTAGAGATTGATGAGGACCCAAAGTTCTTAGCTGACCCAAGGATTTTAAGCTGATTATTTTGCTTTTCCTACTTTTCTCATAATATCAACTTAGCCAAGAAAAAGTGAACAAAGACATTGCTATATATTAAATGGTAGTTACTAAAACACATATCTTGGAAGGTATTGCCATGTGACAGTTTAATTCCTCTTTCCAGGTACACTTGCAGGATTTGCTGGTCCTACATACAACACCACAGGAGGATACATTCCTTCTTTTCACAAGAAGGAGGTTGGGTCAGCAGGGCAGAGGATACAGCTTGCAGCAATTGCACCAACTACAAGTAAGAATGTGAAAAATATCTCCATGAAAGCAATGGACAAGGAGGTATGGTGTATGGGTCAGGGTTCGTACATGCGAGCTCCAGATAATAGAGCTAATCCAGCTGTCTTGAAAAGCAATCTTGCCGCACTCAGATCCTGTTCTGGACAGTGCGGCTGTCTGGAAAACCTATTAGTAAACAAGTGCTTTAGGCTGCATCAACTTATCAAGGGTCCTTGTACATTCAGCAAAGAAATAGTTGCAGTGGAGTAGTACTGTGGTCTCCAAACTGCGGCCCTTTGCTTGCCTCTATCCAGCCCTTGGAGTACTATTCCTCTCACTGCTGACTCTTTCTCAAAGCATGTCAGGTACCAAACAAGTGGTAGGAGGAGATACATCCTGATATAAAATTACACTTCACTGAGTCCTTTAAAAGATTCTAGAAGAAGGTTGTTTTGTTTGTGTCATAAATGTTTAATTCCCCATAGAAGTCTATGGGAAAACAAAAGCAGCTTGAAACAGGTTAAAATGAGGTCATATCAGGTTGAATGCACCTGACAACAAATTTTGAATGATATCAGAAATTAAAGCGGAACTTAACCCATCAATTTAACAGTGCCCGGAATGTAACTGTCACATTTGCTTGGGCTCTCAACCAAACTGTCAAATCTTCAAATGGCTGGTGTCATAACTGATCACATGTACAGCATCATGGCAGTTGAAGATCCAATAGAGGCTAAGGTGGCAGCGTCTTAGGCTAAAAATGATAGGAGCGTTTAGTTCCACTTTAAACTGTTGTCTAAAGCCAGATCATTGACACAACCCAAAGTCCATCAACAGAGGTCCTTGTAGTAACCCTATCTCCTAGTTGTGCTTGCTGAGCCATAAGTGCAGCACAAGTCAAAAGTAATCGAATGGTGTAAGCAACCTAAGTATATATGGTACTACAACTGTTTGTTGGGATTTTATTTATTTCAGGTACTTATATAGCGCTGTCAATTTACGCAGCGCTTTACATATATTTTGTACATTCACATCAGTCCCTAACCCTCAAGGGGCGTACAATCTAAGGTCCCTAACTTATATTCATACATACATATACTAGGGCCAATTTAGACCGGAGCCAATTCCCCTATCAGCATGTCTTTGGAGTGTGGAAGGAAACCGGAGTACCCGGAGGAAACCCACGCAGGCACAGGGATAACATGCAAACTCCAGGCAGGAGGTGCTGTGGCTTGGATTCAAACCAATGACCCTATTACTGCCAGGCGGAAGTGCTAACCATTTAGCCACTGTGCTGCCACAAGGCTGTATTGTCTTGCACTTTCTTGCATTTTTCTTTGCACAGTTTAAAATCCATTGTACATTACTGCAATATAGAATGTGGTGTCTCCAGCATTTTAAGTACATTGGTTTACTTGCTTTTAGGGGACCTTTTTAAGTGTGTACAGCTGATGGTGGGAAAAGCAAAGAAAAACTTCAATTTCTAGGTTATGTTTTTATACGTATGAAAACTGTTGATTGACAGCATATTCAGACATGTTTTCAAATCGTTCTACTTACTGCACAGCACTTTTCTTTGTCTTCTTACTACTTCTACTATTCGTTCTTTCTTCAACTTTTATTTGTTTTTTTTCTGTCCTTTTTAATTCATCTTTAGCTTTACCCAATGATGCTGTGAATGGTAAACCCAAAATTATCAAACCTAAACCCAGCTGCCCAAAGGCAGTCACTGAGAATAGCTCAGGTAATCTGCACTCTGTCTATTCTAATCCCCTCTTTCCCCAGTCCTGGTCTTGTCATTAGATATTTTCAGAAAGATTTTATACAAATGTACCTTTTTTTTAGTTTAGATAATCATCCTGTAGTTTCAGAGATGTCACATTATAAATATACTGTACATACTCTTAGATTGTAAGCTCCTCCTAACCCTCTTGTATTGAACTGTATTGTTGTTGTATTGTCTCCTGTTATATTGTAAAGTGCTGAGTAAACTGTTGGCACTATATAAATCCTGTATAATAATAATAATACACAGAAGAGCTTCAATTCGGTCAGTGCTAGAGTGAGAATATTGCAAACCTGGGGAATTCAAACAAAGATGAAAACTTATTAAGCAAAGGTTACCTTCAGTGAAAACAGCATGCAAAAATGATCTGCAGATCCAGTGATCCATAGGCAGTGAAACGTGAATCCAAATCTTGACTATTCCTGTAAAGTCAAGCTTTGTCTTTCCCTCTCCTGCCAATAGGGGCTCCCTTTTGCACAGTGAGCCTGCCCATAACACAGATGGACTAATAGAAAATCACAACGGGCAGGGCAAGTTCTTTTTTTTTTTTTTTTTTTTTTATTACGGAAAAAGTTGAGGTTTGCAAGTAACATCAACTGTTCTTATTCATTAGTTTGAAATGTAACTGAATCGAACAGCACCTATGCATTTTTTTCATCATATACTTCTTTTGAATTGGCTGGTGACAGGCTCAAAGTGCCACATCAAATATTTTAAAGTCAAGAAAAAGAATTCTCTTTGTATTGACCTTGTTGCTAGTTGAGGTAAGATGTACTTTTTTTTCATGCTTATAAAACCATGCTGAAATTAGGCAGAGAAACCTATAAGGACTCAAGCGAGTCTACAAATAATCTAGAGAATTGAATAAACCCTATGGCTAATGACAGAATTGCTAGATTGCTATTCTGGACATGGATTAGGCTTGCCTGTTGTATAATAGACATCATCAACAGATAACAGAGTTACAGAATAGACCAGATTTTTTTATTTGCTTAATCCATTATTCAAGCATTGTTGGAAGGAATGCCCGATCAAAGAATAGACTTGTTGGAGGAATAAAAGACTACTGCACACTGATGGAATTGGAATTGGTCATTGGAATCCATGTTATTGTATGTAACAACCACAAGCATAGCAGTGACAGTCCCTGCCCTGGGACAACCCCCTCTAACATGTTTCACCCTATAGGAATTACTCCAGTAATCCCATCTGTGTGCAGTAGTCTTTTATTCCTGCCTTTGAGTTCATGAGCGTGGATGGCTCGGTTTCACCTCCAGCAACTGATGCTTGAGTGGCAGCAGGGGGGAGCATCTTGGAATGGAGAGGTATTTGTCTGTACCATCCAAATGTGAATAGATTTGTTGCCATTTAAAGGCCTTCATTTCAGCAAGGAAACTCTGTCTTTTCCACGGTAGATGAGCAGCTGGTCCAGAACTCTTAGCACTTACAGTACTTTCACTCCATGGCAAAGGTGAGGTACACACAAGGGTACAACTGGGGTCTTTACTTGATGAAAGCCAAAAAAAAAAGCTATTCTGACATTTCTCCCCTACATGTAGAAATGATAATTTTGTTAGAAAATTACTCAGAACCCCTGAACATTATATACATATTATAAGAGATCTTATTAGAAGCGGCCCTAGAGCAGGGGTACTAAATTTAAACTCACAGAGGTCCAACCAGTAAAATTTTCTTCCAACAGAGGTCCAAACTGCATTTTTTTTTCCAGCCCTCTCTTACTGTATATCACAATCCTTATACTTCAGAGTCCTCAGTCACCCCCCCCCACCCCCCACCCCCCCCCCCCCCCCCCCCCCCCCCCCCCCCCCCCCCCCCCCCCCCCCCCCCTATACATCACAGTCCCCAACTTCACATCATTTACACCTTCACAGTAGTGTTCTCAGACCCCCTGCACATCACCCCCACCCACCCCTTTACAGTAAACCCCCATTATTTTCAACAGTCCTTGACCCCCTTCAAATCATCACCCCTGCCCCACACTACTGTCCTCAACCCCCTTCACATCTCTCCCCCGCACTACTGTCCTCTTCCCCTTCACATAACCCCCAGCAGAACTGTGCCCCCTTCACATCCCCCCACAACACTGCCCCCCTTTACATCTCCCTCCCGTAGCATTGCCCCCCCTACATCTCTCCCAACAGCACTGCCCCATCCCCTCACATCACAAATTCCCCCGCCCCCCAACAATAGTGTTCCCTGCCCTTTTGACATCAACCCCCCCCCTCTTCCCCCACACACAGCACTACCCCCTTCACACCTCACCCCAATAGTATACTCTGCCCTCCTCACATCAACCCCACCCCCCACTTCACATTCCTACCCCACAGTACTGTCCTCTGCCCCTTCACATCCCCCCACCTCAACACTGCCTCCCCTTTACATCTCCCCCTCCACAGCAATGCCCCCCTTTACATCACCCCCCCCCCCCCCACCACCACCACCATAGACACACAGCACTGACCGCTTCACATTTTCCCCTTTTTATATCACACACACACAGCCGGAGTAGTGACCCGGCCCTCCTTCACTCTCCTACCTTAGAGCGGAGAGCGGGATGGAGCATTTCTGGATCGGGTGTGGGAAGCACAGCACATCATTGAACAGTGCTGCTTATTTCCCCCCATCCTCTGCCACTGTTATAACAGCAGAGCAGACAGCAGGAGACAGAATATTTCTGGAGCGAGTATGGAATAACAGCACAGTAATGATCAGAGCGCTGGAGTGGGAGCTGTCATAACATTTCTGGATCGGATGCAGGATGCACACCACAGCATTGAAAACAGCACGGGAGCTGTGGGGGTTAACTTTTTGTATTAACCAGCAGGTGATTGGCTGCTAACACTTCCCTGCTTCCAATCAGCCGCTGGTTAAATTAAAAAGTTAACCCTGGAAGCTCTCGCGCTCTGTTCAATGCTGTGCTATGCTTCCCTCATCTGATCCAGAAATGTTGTGACAGCTCCCGCTCCCACACTCTGTACAGTACTATACTGTCATTCCACACTCGCTCCAGAAATGTTCTTTCTCCTGCTGTCCACTCTGCTGTTATAACAAGAGTTGGAGGATGGGGGGAAAGAAGCAGCTCCTAAATGGCGTGATTGCGTCCGGGTGAAACAGTGGCTAGGTCCGCATCTGGACCGCTGTCCGCCATTTACTGATGCCTGCCATAGAGAATAAAATGGTGGGTGTTGACATTTTTTATGCTACACAGTATTTACGCAGCAATTTTTCAAACACATTTTTTGGGAAAAGATACACTTTAATGGTTTTTAATGCAAAGAAACACAAACTATAACCCAATTTTTTGTAAAATGTAAAAGATGATGTTACGCCAAGTAAATGGATACCTAACATGTCACACTTTAAACCTGCGCACACTCGTGGTATGGCACGTTAAACATTTTACAGTTTACCAGTTTAGAGTTACAGAGGTGGTCTAGCGCTAGAATTATTGCTCTCGCTATAACCTTTGTAGTGATACCTCATGGATTGTGCGAACTCTGTTTACATATGTAGGCGCAACCTACATATGCATTAGCTTCTGTGTGCGCGAACACGGGGGGCGGGGGAGCTTTAAGATTTTTTTTTTTTTTTTTTTTTTTACACTGTACCTTTTTTAGGGTTTTTTTTTTTTATCACTTTTATTCCTATCACAAGAAATCTAAAGATCCCTTGTTATAGAATGAAGGCATGACAGATCCTCTTTATGGAGACATCTGGGGTTAATTAGACCCCAGATATCTCCTCTACCCTGGAAAGCATGAGAGCAATAAAAAAAAAACAGAATGGCAGTGTTTACATCTACCAGAACTGGAAGTGACATCAGGATGTCGCTTCCGGCCTCCCAGGACCATCTGGTAACCTGGCAGCACCGTCGGATCAGATACCAGGCTCTCTGATCACATGCAAGAGCCCAGAGAGGCGCTGGTGGGCAGTGGGAGGGGGGAATGTCCCCTCCCGCTGTCTGTAAAAGTAATCCAGCGCCTATCAGCCACTAGGATGGCTTTTACAAAAGAGGGAATCGCTGGCTGAAAAAAAAAAAAAGATACTGTAGCTGCAGGCATCATCCTGGTATAAGCACGGAAAGCCAAGGACGTCTATAGATGTCTATAAAATCCAACTACACTCAACTACTGACAGACTGAGGCAGTTGATTTTGTAAAGAATCATGGCTAATATTTGTATTATAAAGAATTCATACCTAAAACAAACACTCAAAGACGTTCACCCGTCGGGAATGATTCAGAAACAGGACTGTTTTTTTCTTCATTATCACTTAATATGGAAAATTCCTTAAAAAAAAAAAAAACAAGTTTAGTGAAAAAGTTGGATTTTATATTATAATGAGGACTTGTTAAAAGCACTTAACATAACAAAAAAATGTAACCTCTCTTTTTAGCAGTAGGAGAGCATATAGCCATTATGGTGATTACAGCACAGCTTACATACATTGTAAAAGGCACTACTTCCATTGCATTATGCGAGCAGGTTCCAGGTTCACACCTGCTCAGCTGTGACATGCACAAGCGGGTCCTCGTTTTAGAATTGTTTCAAAATGCCTGACTGCTGGAGGCATGTCGACCTCCTAAAATCTGCATGTCCAGCCAAACTTTTTTTTTTTAGTTTTGGATGGAGTAGGGAAGGATTAGAACCCCCCATCACATTTTTATTGCGTTATGGAACACCATTAGAGAGATTTATTATCTTGCCTAGTGTTCTGGCAATAATTTCCCCATAGAGGAAGTGAGAGACAATCTCCAACAACACAGAGAAAGGCTAGAACCACTACCAGATTGTTAATGCTGGCCCTTTTGCAGATTTACCATCACTGCTTGTCTCGTCAAACCACTGCAATCAGGACAGTAAGTGAGCTGAACTCTACATAACAGAACTCCAGAGAGTTGTAAAACATGACAGATGGACATACAGTTTTGGCTGGACATACACTTCACGGAGGTCCGACCAGTAAAATTTTCTTCCAACAGAGGTCCAAACTGAATTTTGTTTTCCATCCCTCTCTTACTGTATATCACAATCCTTATACTTCAGTGAAGTGCAGTCTGATAGACAATCACTAGAGAAGTTTGTTTTATTGTAAGTCACTCAGGCTTGAAGTTGGGTGGGTTCTGCACCTTCTTTGCCATCTAGTCGTAAATAAAGAGTATGTACGCACAGGGGGAAGCAAGCATCAGCACAGAGTATTCAGCTTTTATTTATTTATTTCAGGTACTTATATAGCGCCGTCAATTTACACAGCGCTTTACATATATTGTACATTTACATCAGTCCCTAACCCTCAAGGGGCGTACAATCTAAGGTCCCTAACTTACATTCTTACATACACATACTAGGGCCAATTTAGACAGGATCCAATTAACCTACCAGCATGTCTTTGGAGTGTGGAAGGAAACCCACGCAGGTACAGGGAGAACATGCAAGCTCCAGGCAGGTGGTGCCGTGGCTGGGATTCGAACCAACAACCCTAGTACTGCCAGGCGGAAGTGCTAACCATTTAGCCATTGTGCTGCCCCTTTAAATCTCATATGTATGTAAGGAGATATTCGTATATCTGTATTGCTCCTATCAGCTTTTCAGGTCCTTTATCTAATTCTTCTAATGACACATAAAATGATTTAAAGAGTTGGGTTACTTGTTATAGGCAAAACGTTTATACAGGATTTATTAGTTTATACAGGATTTATTAGTTTATGTTTTTGTAAAATTCCATCAATTTAGAAGTGAACATTTCTTAGCAGATGTCTTCTTTAATGTGAATAATATAACTGTAGCTGAAAAGATTGATAACTAATGTGTAGGATAAGAGATGTACAGGAAATCTTCGTTCAATACCTTGTATGGTCCCAGAACTATGCATTCCTGTTTTCCAATCTCTTACGATCCTTTCTTACCACAATGCAGGGACCATGGTAGTTGAGAAGTGCAGTGCATAGCTTACCGTCTAATGACTGATCTCTCCTGTCTGTTCTAGATTTTGACATGTGGAAAACAAAAGCTGTGCGGCCTCAGCTAGCAGGCCCTCCCTTCAAGCCGGCAAATAAAAATCTTGCTGTGCTAAACCGACCTCATCCACTTCAGCCAGTGCATGGAAGGACAGACTGGATTGCCAAGTATGGTGGTCATCGTTGATGTGCGCAAAGATCATTTAGTTTACAACCCCAGCTAAACTGTTGTTGCTCAAGAATTTCTCCAGAAACATCATCTGCCAAAATGTACTAGCGAAACAATTGTGCACACTATATTTCCAAATACATTCATTTAAATGATATATAGAGAAATGTGTCATCTATACGCTATATATTTGTACAGTTCTACCATATTTCAGTGGACATTGACACTCAACTACTGACAGACTGAGGCAGTTGATTTTGTAAAGAATCATGGCTAATATTTGTATTATAAAGAATTCATGCCTATAAACACTTATAAACACTCACCGAATAACTGAAACTATCAGAGCATAAGCAACATAGTTTACTTTAGTATTTCCAAAAAACAGAAGCTGTGACTGGATTCTGGTGGTACTGGTTATGGTAGTTAATGGCTGCCAGGAGGAGAGTGCTGGAGAGAAGCAAATAAAAAAAAAATCTCATAAAGAAATTATTTAAAAAAAAAGGGATTTGTTAAATATTAATTAGTATTATTCCACTTGCAAATAAAACAAACCTCCTCCTTGGCTTATGCTTTCCAACCTCACTCCCCCCTCTATTAATGTCAGCACTATCTATGGCCAGTAGCCTTTTCCTGATTGGACACTCAAAGATGACACAAGCCAGATCTCTAACATATAAAAACCTAGTAGCATTTCCATGCATTTATTTAAAGGATGCAATGGTAGCTATGAAGTTACCATATACTGCTCTTCACTACCATGAAAACCTATACCCAAAAGTCAAATGGCCCTATAAGTGCAGTCATAGTGGTGTCGGCCATCGCTGTCCTCCATTCAATGTGTAGATTGCTTTCCATTTTCAGACCCTAACAGTGTACCCTTACCTTTTGTTTGCCTACTCATTGGTTATTTTCATCAGGTTCTCAGTATCCTGCTCTTGTCACACTGATACATTGCTGTAGCTTTGCTCAATCTTCCTTCAGACCACTACCTTTTTGCCTCTTTCACAACTTCTAAGCTGAACAGCTTTGCCTGTCTCTGAGTGCCCTGCTTTAGAACCAGGGCTGGGATATGGGGTGGGCAGGACAGCTTCCCTGGGTACAGGAGAGCAAGAAAGCAGAGAATGGAAACAGGACAGTAAACCCATTCTATGGCATACATTAACAGTGGAGGAGGGGGCAAATTTCTGCATCCTTGCCTGGGCATTGGATGAACCTGTCCAAGTTCTGTTTAGAACCCTTGTACATGGATATTTTTTCTTATTTAGGACTGTGTTTCTCTCAAACAAATCAATGGGAATGCAAAAGCATCCTGTGGCAAATTAGGTGGTGAACTGCAGGTCACATGTGAAGGTACTCAGATCAGCATCACAAATGTAGGTTTAAAGCACCAGAAAACTTCTTTTGCTCCCAAAATGTTCCTAAAATCCCGTTATTGCAAGTTATGAAGTTGCTATTTATGTCATTGTGGCAGTTTACATTCACATAGATACCAGGGATGTGGTCTGTCCATTTTAAAGGTATTTTATTAAATATATTTAAAGCCCTATCAAAGTTAAAATAATGTTAGTAGAGACAAAAAGCTTAATTAATGCAAAAGCAGAATCTCTGTGTAGTGGTCCAACACACCCTCTGCTGCGTCACCACTACAGCACGAAGGAGAGATGCAGTGATTGATTCCTGATTGCAGCACTGTAGTGGTGGACTCAGTGGGAAGGGGAATTGGGGGGGATTGCTGCTGCTCTTAAACAGTAGAGATCAGCAGCAGCCCTTCTCTGCGTCCTGATACTTGGATTGTGTGCTAGTGATGGGTAGCAAAAGAGCCTACAAACAGTAAGGCCTGTGTGGTGTTCTAATATATATTGTGTTAAGGTAGCCCATTCATTGTGAATAGGCTGCCAACACACAGGACACTGCATCTGACCCTCTTTTAGGAACAGAAAGCATGATTGTGCATTGCAGCAAGCTTCAACACAGAAGAGTTATGGTGCCATATTTAATGACACTGCCATGCTTTATCATGTATTCTAATCTCAATAACACTTTAAAGAAAAAGACATTTGAATGAATACAACTTACTTTTTTCAATAACACTTTAAAGATGACATGAGTTACTGAGTAATTTTGAGCTTTTTTCATTCAGCATTAGTTGTTGGGTAAAGTTCTACTTTAAATGTTGTATCTGATGGTACAGTTAAACCCGCACTGTTTTTATTAAGTTTGAAGTGGGGGTGGGTTAAAATCTCTGTCCATTTTTCAATAATTTGGTTAGATTTAGTAGGAAATTCTAATCCTTCCCCATTCCAACCTAACTCAACTTTAACTGTCTTCTATATCAGTGTTTCGCAACCTTTTTTCATTCAAGGCACCCTCTAAAGTTATGAACAGTCCCAAGGCACCCTTTAACATTATGGACAGCCTTGAGGCACCCTATTCTAAAATGGAGTGCCTCTAGACTGTCCATAGTTTTATAAGGGCACCCCATTCTAAAATGTGAAAAACTATTCTAATAGGGGAGCGGGCGCCCGGCACACAGGAGAGCCGCATCTAAATTTGTAAAGAGCCGCGGCTTGCCGACCACTGGCCTTGACATTAGACTGTCCATAGTTTTATAAGGGCACCCCATTCTAAAATGAGAAAAACTATTCTAATAGTTTTACAGCAACATCCACACAGGTAGGACACCCAACATTATAGGTGATTTATTCTTCCAAAGCAATGCACACTGGTACTGACTAGTATTCCAGTGTTTCTCTTCTCCCTCAGTTTTAGTCATCACTAATGTGACCCCAGCACTGATGGAGAGGGGCAGGGGAGGATCAAACTAGGATGCTGTGCAGGCAACCAACATCCTCCTTATCAACTGATGATGTCATTGGTTGTCAGGATGCTGGCAGAAGGTCATAATGGTGCACAATAAACACTTGTGGCTTTGTGTAACTAAAAGGCAGGCTTGTTCCACCTGCTGGCTTTGGGCAATTTTTAGACATTTTGCCAAGGCACCCTGGTTGAGAAAGACTGCTCTATATAACATGCTGGATAATACATCTATTAACGTGATAGATAAAAAAAAAAAAAAATAGAAAACATGTGGTGAGTTTTAAATATAGATATGTAAATGATTTAAAAGGCACATACCAGTCATAATTGAAAATGAACCCATGAAATGTATACAGGGCATAGTCTACCTGCATAGGAAAACTCATTTTCGTGTAGGCTTACCTGTTGGGCACAGGTCACACCCGGCTTCATATCCCTTTGCCTGGTTTTTGTACTGATCCAAAGGTAACTTTGGTTTACGTGTCACTGACGTTAAACAAACAAGCAGTCAGTGCTCTAATAGGTAACTTTGATAACTGGTCAATTGGACTTATTTTATGGAGATACCATTAAACTCATTTTCCATGCATTTTCCTGACCTGTTGTATGTAGTCTACAACTGTACATCATGATTTGAAACCAAGCCATATCCTCCCAAGTGTTATAGTACTTTTTTTATATGTAATTTTCTTAGTCAACATACTGGATTCTGTAAATAAGGTTTGAGATTTAGCATTTATGTTCGTTTTCTTTACTGGGTCTCATTTTATATTTTTAAGATCAGCACCTCCCTGGCATCACCGAGGCTTCCTTTTAGTGCTAATGGCTACCACTGACTATTTCCCAGGGCCGTGCTAGTTCTGGGGCTGAGCAAACCTCTGTATCATCGCACACAGTGATGTCCCAGAACTAGCACTACTGGTAGTCAGTGGCAACATCTAGCATTAGATGGGAGCCCTGGCTCTTCCTAGTAGGTCTCCATGACAGACGCATTTTAAACAAATATATGTTTTTAGGAGTGCCAGCAGGTGGAAGTTACTAGAGCGACAATTACTAATTACATATTTATATGTAGACATAGGAGTACTGTGAAAATAAAGCCTGCCATTTATTTCTGTTTACTTTTCTACATAGCTGTAGTATAGAAGACCTTCAGAAGCAATTTGCAGGTTCTTAGGACGATAATAGTACAACACATGAGAAATGTATATTCTTTTGCTGGAGAAGGTCATAGCTTTTTTTTTTTTTTTTTTTTTGAAAAGTAACATAGAGCTGCCTGATGATAGAAAGTGTACAGTTTACTGTTACACAATACCGCACTCTAGTGGAGACTTTGCAAATTGCAGGAATTGACAGATGTGAATAGGTCAACTGAGAACTAAAGGCAAATAGCAAACTTATCAATGTTGCAGCTTTTATATTCTATACAAGGTGTCAGCTACTAGAGAACAGATTCAAGACAAAGATACTTCAAGTGGGAAAAAAAAAATGATATGATGAATTTATCTTGACGGATAAAAGGCTATTTAATGGTTATGACATTTCTCTTTTTGCATTAAAAGCAAGACATGGGCTGTGTGGCCTAAATGACATAATAAGCATCTGGACCCTGATGTGATCATCTAAAAATAATAGTCTAAAATATGCTATTGTGTCACAACTAGCCATAAGCAGAAACAGATGTTGAAAGTGTCATAATGTTGCAGTGACCAGTGTCCAGGTTCAGCAGAGCATTGTCTACATGAATAGACCTGCTTGATGAAAAGGTAAATAAATATCACCTCAAAACCACGATCTAACTTTTGTTCTATTTTAACAGGCAATAGTGTGTTTAATGTAATGTAAAAATAAATACACATAGGCATATTTTTAAATGTAACTGTATTTATTGTACTTACCAGCCTAGAATTCAAATGGCTTTAAATTGTTTAATGAACACATATAGTATATTTTATTTTGTACATAACAGCATTGTACACAGACTAATAAAATTGTTTCTTAATACCTATCCTGGAATGCATCTGATATGTTATTTCCAGGATTTTTGACTTGCCTGTAAAATCCTTTTTTTGGACTGTATTACAGGACGCAGCATCTTGGTTTTAGACCATCAGTTATGCAGCTACCTTCAGGTGATTGGACACTGGCAAAAAAAGCTGTAAGGACCGCCCTAGCATAACCCCTCCCACTCCCAGCAA